TTTTTTTTTACTTCGTCTAATCCATGACTGATAGTATAATTTGAGAAATACTGCAAACGTCTGACTTTCTCGTAAGACTTTGAACAAATACTAACATTTAAAAATTTTATTTTTTCAAAAATTTGTTCGGTAAAGTATAATTTAAACCTCACTATTAGATAAATAAAGACCTTAACTATTAGAAAAAAATTGAATTTACTCATAATCTAATATTTTTTATTTTACATTGGCGGCGAAAGGACCTCCTTAAGAGAACAAAAATAATAGGATCAATAAGCTAGGTGTAAATGCTTAAATGCTTAAAAAATTAATTGTGGAAAACAAATTTTAACAATTTAGTAACTTCAATTTCAAGTGACCTGTTTAATGTTTATCAGACACTATCTCGTTCTAATTTTACAAAAAATTTAAAAGCATTTCTTTTGAAGGAGTCTAAGCTAAGCGATTTTGTGACTTCGTTTGGTAGCTCTCTCCAGAGTCGAATTGCAGAAATTACAAATGAATGTTCGAATATTGTAGTCGAGAAGTTTGGCATTTTAACTGAAATTTAGGCTGAATGACAGAAATAAATAGTTGTATGGCTAACTATTGCAATTGCATTTGCATTTATTAATGACAAAAGGAAAAACCAATATACTAGTCGGAACATGTAGCAAAGTTTCGTTCTCTCCCTGAAAATACTGATTGAAAAGAATTGAGAAGCGGGGTCGCTCCATGCAAAATGTATATTTATCTATACAAGCAAAAGAATTGAAATAATTGAAAAGAATTCAAATTTCATATTTTTTAATTATTTTTAATTAGTATTTTTAAACAGGGCTATGAAGTTCTTGATAGATTGCCTGTTCATTAGACTACATAGTCATACAAACGATATATTTCAGCCATTGTTGGTCTCAGGTTGCACTCCAATAACGTGGTCAAGACCCGGGTCTTCGCTGGAAATACCAGCAATGAAAATCTCTGTATGAAATTTTACGACTAATTAGCTTATAATAAAATTTTTTTTTAATCAACGGGATCGTAACATATGACAGTAAAAAATGATGCTAAAGTTAACTAACAAATGTCAATTTTTTGTTTAATTATTTTTATAAAAAATCAATTACAATAATAAAAATGATTTTAAATTCTTATAACAAATCAATTACATTAAAAAAATGCTGTTAAAAATTTCTATTAATAATTTTTTTTAATTTTCACAAGTGAAATTTTTTTATGACATTATTAAACTTAGCAGGCACTAGACCATTTTTTAATTTTTTTTTAACAAACAAATTTTTTCAGAAAATTATTTCAAAAAAATTAAGTTTTTTATTTTTAAAAATTTCTTCATGGCAATTTTTTTTCTGATTTTTTTTGCCATAATTTATTTTTTAAAAAAAATTTTAAATAATCTGCTCAATTAATTTTCATAATATTTTCATTGCTATAAAATTCTTCAAAAATTTATGTCTGTCAACTTCAATGTCATCAGTAAAAAATGTAATTTAAAGTTAAAAAAAAATGATAGCAAATATGTCCGAGCCCCAAGCAGCACAATTTTTTTTTTGTTAATGTTTTGTTGAATTTAAGTTGACAATTATTAATTTTTTAACTTCTTGTTAAGTGAAATCTACCAAAAAGTTAACATTTTTTTTTATGACAAAAACATTTCCATGTTACAGGAATTTTTTAATCATTTAATAATGTGAAAAAAAAAAAAATGAATTTCAATTACAAATTTTAAATGATAAGCTTAAATATAATAATCCGAGCGCGCAAGTAAATTCAATGGTAAATGTTTAGCATTCATTTTACATTGTATATTAATTTTCGAATGTAAAGTATAGAATGAACGTGCAAAATTTTTATGATTAATGTAATCTGTTTTTTGATAAGCTATCTCTTCCATATAGTGATTAGCAGCATGATCAGCAGCTACTAATAATTGCAATAATTCTTCCTGCAACGGAATTTCTTTAACGTGTTCATAAGCGCAGTTGATAACATGTTCTTCCAAATTTTCCAAGCGCGTATTGTCATCGAATTTTATCTGCGGTAATTGATTTACTTTACAACACTCACGTAATAACTTACGCGAGACCATAACGCAGGGTTGTTGGCAAGATGATTGTGACTGTGATAATAATGGGGCGTCGGCTCCTGACATGTTACTGGTCATTGACGGGTTGTTTAGCGTAATGACAATCGGCTCACTGAGTAATACACTGTTTTCAGTTATCAGTACCTTGCATTTATCGATGCCCGGAAAATTGTTGTATTTCAATATTGTTGATACCATATTTATTGCAACATGCCATACGCTGTCTGGTAGATTTGTAAATCTTGATGATTCTATAAAGTTCCACGCGTAATCTATTACGTGATGGATGTACTGCATCAGTTTGTTAACTTCATTCGAATTATACATTACGCTGTGTGGTTTCAATCCGATGTAAATGTTGAAATTTTCATTTGATAATTCAGAATCACGAGCATTTTGTGATTTTTGCATTATTATAACATCATCGTCCTCAGTTTCATTGTCGCTAGATTTTCGTTTTAGAGAGTCTGTGAATTTTAACATTTTGTTACTTGGATTTTTAGAAATTTTAACTTATAAAATTATTTATACATCTATAGAAAGGATTAATTTTTTTAATAATTATTTAGAATTGTAATTTTGCCTATTTGTGCCATAAGAATTTTAAAATTGGAAAATTCTATTTTTGAACGCATTGAAAAATTGAATTACATGAGAATTTTTTATAATAAATTCAATATTTAGTAGATATTTAGCAGAATATTTTTTTTCAAATGCTTATTATTTAAACAAAATATTAGTTTATCGCACTCTTGATTGTTTTTTGAGTCAATAATGAGTCAAACTTTGGTTTAAAAAAAAAAAAAATTATTGTTATTTTTGAAAAATTCAAAGAAAATGCTTCTGAAGTAAAACCTACAGAAAAAACCGCAGTAATACCCACACTTACCCTAGTCTAGTCTAGACATAAAAAGATAAAACTATGTAAATTCAATAAAACGAGATCCTTTTATTAAAATGTTGATGTGACGTTTTCATTGTTCTCGCTTTTTGTTACTATGGTAACCACTCTGGCAACGGTTACCATAGCAAAGATTAAATATTAATGAATAAAATTTGAAAAAAATTAATTAAATTGTCGATAATCACCATTTTGACAGAAGCGCGCTCGATTTTTTAGTATTGTAAAAGTCCATACTACGTTGCTATAAAATATTTTAATCTTTTGCCAACTGAATATAAAAAATTGGCGAAAATTAATAAAACGAACAAGTTTAAAATGAAAAAATGGTTAAGAAATACACAGAATCAAACTAATTTCCTAAAATAATACAATCTTAGTTACTAAATACTAAATAAAATAAAGCTTAAAATATTAAAAACCAATTATTAAATATATCAAAATTTAATTGTAATTTTTCCTTTAAAGCTCATGAGAGAGTGACTCAATTAGTAATTAAGCCTATCTCTTTTTCCCTACCCTATGTACAGACAACAATTTATCTTTATAGGAATTATATGTAGTTATATGTACAACTATATATGTAATTCTGGGAAATAAATAAATAAATTTAAACTTCAAAAATGAAAATTTTTTCTTGAAATTTTGATAATTAAATTTTTTACACTCATTCTTCAAGCTTAGTGACGACAGAATAATTTTTTTTAATCTTTAAAATGTTATTTCTTCACAATTAAAAAAATTTTTTTTTTTTTAATTACAAAATTTACATTTTCATTCAGTTTTTTTTTTTTTTCTGATTTATAATTATAATTTACCATATTTATTAGAAGAAAATTTAGCCAATAGATTATTAAATATATACTAGTAACAATACAATGGAAGAAAAAACGAATACAAATGTTTCATGTAGTAAATTAAAATTACGAGATATTTACAACGAAGAAACACGCAAAGGCGTACTTAGATATTTCTCTCACTTATGGATTCGTTACAACAACAAAAAACGTGATGAGGAAAAAAAAAATGGCAAATTTAATACATCGATGGACGTTGATGACTCACAATAACCTACGAGATTAAAAAAATCAATTAGCATACAATTATAATTAAAAATTAACTTACCTCTACTCTAGTAAAAAAATAAAATGCATTAAATAAATAAACTTTAGTAAAAATAAATCATAAATTATACTTGCTTAATAAATAGATTTCCAGAAATTTTTATTGACACAATTGCTGGGTATATCACAAATTATCAATTAATACTTATTTTATCGAATAGTAATTCATAGTAATGATATTAATATTAAGTTGATTGCCAAATAAGCACGCCAGGAAGCGAGATTGAAAAACATTCTGCACTATAATGAAAGCATCTACAATTTAATTATATTTTATTTAAATATATATTTATTTTCAAAGATACTTATACTTTTATTTCTAAAAATGAATGAATAAAGTAGACATACGATCCTATATGACATTTACGGTTATATTTTTTACTCATTAACGTCCATAAATAATTTTTATTTAAAGGAAAAAAATTTCACAGATAATTGAGTATTTAAAAAAAAAATAATTCATTTAATTTTTTTAATGGAAACAAAAATATTTATTAATGATCGCATCAGAATATACATATTAAATAACCCCAATTATTATAATGCGCATGGTAAAAATTTTATTGTTGAGAATTTAAAGGGTATTTTGGTAAGTTTTATCAAGTAAAATTTTTAGGCTTTTTTTATTAAGAAATAAATTAATTATACTGATAAGTTATAGTATATATTAAATAATTAGTCATTTAAAATATGTAATTTATACTCAAATGTACTCAAATATATATGAAAAAATGTTATTAAATACGTAGATAATTTGTAAATAGTAACAAGTCAAGTAGAGTAAATTCAAAGTGAAGATTATATTATAAAAATTTGAAAATAAAATAATTATGGACGTTATTGAGACAATGAAAAATAGTTTCTGATAAAATTTCCTGAAATACTGTTAATAAAAATTATTTATTGCAATAATCGTCTGGCACAATCAGAAATTCTGGTTAAAATTATAAATATTTAATGTATAAAATAAGCAAAATAAATTTCCAAATAAAAATTAATATTCTAAATAATAAATTTATTTAATATAATAATTAAGTGGTGCCTCGCGAGTTAGGAAACAATTTTAATAATAATTATGATTATTTTTAAAAAATGACTTAATAATTAAATTTGTTTGTATTCAATATGTATTCTACAATTAAGAAAATAATAATATTAACAATTTAATCAACCTTGAACAAAAGAAGACGTAGAAAAAGACACGAAGTGATTTAAAAAATTGCACGTGTCATAAATTATAAAATAATGATTGTTATAAATATAATAGATGATTAAAATTAGTTTTATTAATTTGTCAAATTTTAAATTATCATTTTTGTTCTTCTATTTCACTTGTCTTAAACATTAAACTAACAATCTAAATTTTAAAATGTGTAACTATAATATAAACCATTAACTTATTAACTCATTATTTGTTGTTAACTTCATTTTAAAAATGACTACAAGGTACTAAGGTCTTTCTTAATTATTTATAATTATGGTTATTTTTTTTTTTTTTTTTTTTAATTTTTTGTAGTTGCAGTGCATATTATGTTTTTATTTTTTATCTCCATTGTTGTATTTTAAATCTCATTATTTAATCGAATACTTTTCTATAAATTTCTACGTAGGATCAACTGTTATTTAATCAGACGATGGACGTCAGGCCTTGTTAGTCAATTTTTAACCATCAATTACAATAAAATTTACAAATAAAACTTAATAAATTTTACAAGAAATTAATTATTAAAGAAGTAAATAATTCGACTCGCGTGACGTCTCACCGTTTATAAAAAATTTTATTTTAATAAAACCTTTAAGTGTAATTTAAAATTAATAATAGCTCACAATTATACCACTACTGTTTATTTATTCAATTAATTACTAAAATTAATTTGCAAGGTAAAGTCGTAAGAAGCATGAGGAGGACGTTAAAAAAATTTTTACGTCAACGTCATACAGTCAATATTCTCGCGACAAATTCAATTTTAAATTTAAAAAAAAAAAAAAAAAAAAACATATGTAATAAATAAATATTGATTATAAATATATGCTTGAGCAGTAATTTTATTAAAAGAATAATAATAAAATCATCAAGAGATAAAAAAAATTTTCATTGAATTTAACATTGTTAGTATATATATATATGTATATGTATATATGTACACAGGATCGTCGCGTAATGTTTAAAAGTAAAAAAAAAAAGAATGAAAGATTTAATAATTTAAAAAGAAATATGCCAAAGCGAAGGGCAAGAACGCGCGTCCTCCCCGCGATCGCCAAATTTAGTAAAATTTCCAGTTTAATTATTTAATTTTAAATCGTTAAATTACCATTAAATAATATACTGTAGATTATATTTGATTATAAATTAAAGAGCCTTAATAATATGTTTATCATGTATTAATATTATTTTTTTTTCTTTAATAATAGTAGTAATATTTACGATAGCTTTTGTATGTAATTAGCTTACTCATTCGGCCGTTAACTTGGTTTATCTTTCACTCCCTTTATTATATATCCACGTTACATCCACAAGCGCATCTGGATCTTCGTCTTCCTCGTCTTGGTTTCATTTACTTAGTATATTTTCGATATTTATATTTTGAGAGAAAAAAAAATAATTGTTAAAATAAAAATATTTTACAAATATCGAAAATTCGGTGACTAGCGACATTCCCAAATTTTCACTGTCTGATCTACGCTACCAGTTACCACATAAGGATGACTTTTGTGAAAATCTGTTGAATAATTTATTTTATTTCCATTAGTATTAATTAGTAATTACAATTATCAATGATATTAAATGGTCAGAGTATAAAGGTTAATTTAATTATTTATTCTGTCTTGCGAGGCTTCGTTAATTTTATCCCAACTTTGATAGTCATTCAGTTACAAAATAATTATCTGACAGTTTTTTAAAACTATTTAATTTAATCCATCACACTTAAGTGATTTATGACCATCATTAAATTTCCGATTAAAAATTTTAGGATAATTATTACAAGATGTCACCATTATTCTAATGATTTGTAATTTATAATCACAATAAAAAATAACCATTTGTTAAAACATAAAAAAAAGTTTGGCAAATCCAAAAGTGCACGACACATAATGCTCATTAGTTCGATAAATAAAAAAAAAAATAGTTAATGTTCCGAAAGGATATTTGTTTTAATTTAATTTAATTTTTTATTTAAATATTACTTTTACAATTTCCTATTTTTTTTGTTTGCTACGTTTTTTAAACTGATCATGCGCACTTCCAAAAAAAAAAGTAAAAATTTGCATTTTTTGAAAGGGCTGTGAAATTGAGTCGTGATTTTTTACCATTTTTTCATACATTGATTATTAAAAAATAAATAGTTTAAATAAAAATATCGCTTGAGATTGAGGTTCATATTCAGTGTAATTATATAAAGAAAAGTAATTTTTCTGTGTCATTGATTTCAGATAAAAATTGAGGCTTCCATAGTGCACACCAACTGCTAAGTCGGATGACAACCTACGATGTGTATCAGCTGATATATCCGCTACTTTTTAAGTTATATTATCGTAAAATATGGAAAAATATAAATATATGTATAAAATAACTTGATAGTTTCAATAAATAACATTAATTTTCATACCTTAAAAAAATTAATAAAAAGTTTGGCAAATCCAAAAGTGCACGATTCATAATGCTCATTCGTTCGATAAATAAAAAAAAATAGTTAATGTTCTAAAAGAATATTTTTTTTTCATTTAATTTTAAATGTTATTTTATTTTTTTATTTAAATATTACTTTTGCAATTAACTATTCTTTTTGTTTGCTACTTTTAAATACAATTTCTTTTTTTATTTATTTTTTTATTTCAAGTTTCGCGCGGTGTTTTAAACTGATTATGCACACTGAGTGTGGATTTTTTCATTAATTTTAGTTTTTCGTTAATAGCAGATAAACAACATTAAATAAGATCACCATCTCCAATGGAGATCTCCGCAAAGGGAATGCCAAGCTATTAAAAAAAAAACTGATTGAATTCGTGAATTTTTAAGCAAGTTATCGTGTTTTAAACGGAAAATTAAGTTGATTGACACGAATTTTCTTTTAACTATTTTGATATTTTTTTCTGGTTCTATTATTTTAATTTGATTTTTATCAGTGACAGAATTAATCTCCATTAAATTATCTATCAAATGGTGCGCAAATTAATTAGACTACGTAGATTATCAATTGTGTAATTAATTAAATAGTTGCGAAATTGAGGCAAAACAAGTTTTTCAATCGTAAAGCACTCTCTAATAATCCTTCGTATCATGAGTCGTGCAATATTCGAAAATAAATTTTACTTAATTCTAATAGACTTTTGATATTACTTCATAGAAGCCCGTTAAATTGGAATTATATGACGAAGCATCACAAAATTGAATAAGTAAAAAAAATCATCATAAATTGATCAGTATACTTTGATTATTTAATATCATTATTATCATGACCTAAATACACCTAATAATTGTTAAAAAAAACTTACCAATAGAAGTGCAAAAGTGAACGTGTGCCTCAAGCGTCTTCATAGCACGTTTATTACGAGTGTCCCAAACTCTCATTGTCTTGTCGTCTGACACACTGACAATAAATTTACCGCCAGGATGGAAGACGATTCCGCGTACCCAGTTGTCATGACCAAGAAGTACAAATAGACAAACTCCAACACTGACATCCCATACGCGAATCGACTTGTCACGCGATCCTGACGCTAAGAATGGACCCTCGTGTGCTCCTTTATTGTCAGCACCAGCGGCAGCATTTATTGCTGCTCTTGCGCTTTCTGGTGCCCAGGCAATGCACTCGACAACGTGGTCGTGATCACGCAGTTCGACCTGTAATAAATAATAGGAGAAATCAGTAACTAGTAACTAGTAATTATTGAATTTTAAATAAAATACATACTTTGGTCTCTTTAGTGGCCATGTGCCATACCCTTACGGTCTGATCATTAGAACAACTGGCAATTAATTCACCACAAGGACTGACCCTTGCCATTCTGACCCATTCTCTGTGGCCAGTTAATGTTTTTACACAGTAACCTGTGGCTACTTCCCATATTTTAATGGTCTTATCCCGTGAGGCACTTACTACAAAGTCACCCTGTGGTACGAATGCAACTGAATTTACGTTATGATCATGACCGTGCATTGTTTTAACACACGCAAACGACTGGTGAAAGTCCCATATCTTTATAGACATATCTGCGCTGCATGATACCAGTAATTTTCCTGACGCATCGAATGCTACATCTTGCACGCTGTCTGTGTGTCCCTTCAGGGTACGTTCGAATTCTCCGCTTTCAAAATCCCATACCTAGTTATCAAAAAAAATATTTTTTTTTACATATTCATTACTTTTTACTTTCAATTAAGGGGTTACATGGGTTTCTTCCGGGAAAAAATGGCCTATTTTTAACAATTTTTTTTTTTTTAATATAAAAAATGAAACATTTAATTCAAACTTTTTACTATCTTAAATATATATATATATATATATATATTTAATAACGGATTACTGAAATTTTTGAAAAAAAAATATTAAAAAGTCTGCCATTGTGACGTCATTTTCGGCGAGCCCTCGGAAAAAAAATCAAAACTTCTAGCAGGATCATTTGAAGTAAAAAAAAAATACATGCTTTAGTTAAAACTTTAAACTAGAACTTGGATGAAGGAAAAAAAAATGAAAATTGGATTTTTGGAAGAGGTTTTTACGAAAAAATGAAAAATTTCGTTAATATTTCGCGGCAGTTTTTTTTTTTTTTTTTTTTTAATAATTGTAATTGACAAAAAAAAATCTTTCGTCTCCAAGTCTTTGTAAATTGTATCTCGGAAACTTGTCTAAAATTTCATCAAGATCGGTCGAGTAGTTCTCGAGAAATTTTGACAACCGTCTTAAAAAACACAGCTTTGAGAAAAACGCGTTTAAAGTTTTGAGTGACAAAAAAATGGTTGCAGTCAACTAGTCAGACTGACAACATTCCGAATTAATAAATTACTAGAACTTAGAAAGTAAATATTAAATTTAATTTAAAATAATTAATTTTACAAATTTTAAAATTCCGAAAAATATAATCTTGAGTAAAGAAAAAACTAAAGCTATATCAACAGAATCTTTTAAAGTCACAAAGTCTCAATAAATTAAAAAACATAAAAACGAAAATTTTTACGTCAAAATGAATGAATAGACGAACACTTATTTAGCCGAAAAATGTAAATATATAGTTATTTGGATGAGTAATTTTCGGCCGAATCATTATTCGTATGGATGAAAATACGTCAGAACGAACTTTTTTCGAAATTAAATTAATTTTAACTCTTGAGGAATATAAGATTTATGTTCACTTACATTCGATAGCTCGGTGTTTTATAATTCTCAAAATTGTTTTTCGGCTGGTATTCTATTTAAGCTAATGTATTTTATAAACTTTGAATGTATAGTGGAATTTTTAATTTTCTAGAGTTTTAATAATTCGGAATGTCGATCTGACTGGTTGACCGCAACCCAAAACAGCGCCTTGAGCGCGCAACATTTTAAAACTGTATCTCCGAAACTATTACTCGTATCGACTTGAAACTTCAGGGCAATAATTTAGAGACATTGTAGAATTTAATAAGACAATAAAAAAAATCGATTTTTTGAAGCCGTGAAACGCATGTAACCCTTTAATCAATTCAATTATCAAACTGACAATTGCTGGAGGCAAGTATTTATTTTATCAGAGTCAAAGTTTTAATTGAATCAATATGGAAAACAGTTCCAACACCTAAATATGAATAAAAAAAAAAAATAATTACTTTAATTGTCGCATCTTCACTCGCTGATACAATAAGACTGAATACAGGATGAAAAATAACTCGATTTATTGGCGCTCTGTGACCAGTTAGACAGTGTTTCTCAGGTGGCCTGGGAATCCATTCTGTTGACGAACGTTTTCCTCGCGTTGGTGCACCCTCTATGAATTCTTTCTCGGCTTCAGACAGCTTAGACTCTAATTCCATTACCTGTAATTTACATTTATTATTATTATCAACATCTCCATCATCACCGTTGTTATTATTATGTGAATTTCACACGTTAAATAATTATTTAACATTGTACTTGTTAATATAGTTTTTTAATTGCAGTAATTAAAAGTCCTAAAAATAATAATAACAAAGTATTAACCTTTTTCTGTAGCCGTATAACGGAGGTCCATTTTTTCTCAAGCAATCCACCGTATTTACGTTCAACTTCTCCTGGCATATCAGCTTCCTTTTTGAATGCTTCCAGAGCATCTTGATAACCATTGGTACTTAAATAGTCTGCGATCGCCTTATTTCTGAAAATATAATTATGTATTATTATTCAAATATTTGAACTTGTAAATTAGATTGACATAAATATTTTATTTAACAAGCAACTTTTTTTGTTTTTGTCCGAATGGTAAAAAATAAAATAAAGTCATAAGTCACAGAGACGTGAGAAAATATTTTTAATAGACATATTTGTACGTGTCTTTGAATGTAATAACATAACTGTTACACCTGACTTGTTATGTTATTTATGGTGTTATTAAAGCATGTACTAGACTAGCCTACTAGTCATTTGGTCACAGGCGTGTCGGATGAGCAAATAAAAACGCGAGGGTAGATTGTGGCCTTTTGTTTCAGATAATGATACTTGAAAGTACTTTAAGAGAGTAAGAACATCCAGAATATATATTTATATGGATGTATATGTATTAGAAATATAAATACACTCATAACGGGGTGAAAGGCATCATCATTTTATAGCCACTTCTATTAACTTTTATTTATAATGATCGATTGTTACTGTAAAGTTCATCTAATTTACTTTATAATGTAATTTTCTATTTAGATAAATATTCATTTTATCAATATTGTTTTCGAAATCGATGGAAATAAATTTAAATCATATATCGGTTTTACTATTATTTTTTTTTTTTTTTCAAAATATAAGCACCTTATTTTTAAATTTACTAATTATTTAGGATTAAAAAATTCTAAACATTAATTTACTGACAAAAAGTAAATTTTCAAATACCTGAAATTATAATTTTTTTAAATTAATTTTTTGTTAATAATAATTATTGATGATTGACTATTGATTACAAAATTCTCAAATCTATAAATTAGTCATATTTCTTTTAATAGAAAATGTAAAGTTCAAAGTTCACTTTTAAAAAGTTTGTTTCATTTTAATTATTATTCATTAAAAGTATAAATTAATTTCAACTTTTATAATAAAAAAAATCTAGACTTTTTACAAAAATATTCCTCTGTAAATTATTAAACTTACTTTTTTAATAAACGTAAAATAAAGTAAATTGTTGGAGGATTTTTAGACGTTGTCTATTAATGTCCTGTTTGACAAATCACGTCATAAAAATTCTAAAAATATTATCTCAACACCCTGTAATGATACGTAATTGTTAAAATTGAATCTATCTAATTAATTACTCCGATAAAAGTGATGAAATATGCGTTACATGATAATTTTCAGTAATATACATGGCAATAAAGAAAGTAACAAATCATAACGACAAAACGCGGTAACTTATAAGTAAAGAGTCGTGTATCAGGCATAATATTAATTATTATAATTATAATCCAACAATTTTATAAATTAGAATTCTATCTCTATTGAAAGTAATTTCTATAAATTTCTAAGTTACATGAAATTTTGCCATAAAATTGATTTTACAGAGTAAAATTTAAAAAAATACTTTGTGTTTTACCAAAGACAGTTTGTAAAAAAACACAAATGTATACAGAAAGAAAAATTTTTGGCTTAAGAAAATTTTCGGGTGCCTGAAGGAAGACCGAAGTTGTGTTGGCCTAAGTAAAAATTTTTCTTGAAATTCTATTCTTAGTGGAAGTAATTTTTTCTTAATTCAAGTTATCATAAATACTTGATACAATAAATTTTTATATTTGATTAAGATTTTTAAATACTTTAGGGAAGCAGTGGCACCTACTTCAGCTGAGAAAAAAATTTTCTCACCCTGAAAAAATTTTTCTCTTGAATATTTGATATCCATTTTATATTATTTTAGCGTGCAATTATACATATTGAATGAAAAAAATGATTCAATATTATTTGACCTTCCCATTTGACATGTTAATCAATAAAAATATTAATGAAAATTTACTTCTATCTTTATATTTAATTTTTTGGAGCAAGAGAGAAATTTTCTCAAGACAAGAAAATTTATTTATATCAAGAACTAAATTTTTTGGAGCAAGAGTCTGAATTTTCACAAAACAAGAAAATTTTCTTGGATCAAGATACGTATTTCTTAAAGCAAGAGAATTAACTTTGTTGTAATAAATGAAATTTCTTGTTTTAAAAGAAAAATTTTTTTTTTGCTCAAGAAAATAATTAGCAAGAAAAATATTTTCTTGGCTATAAGTTTATAATCAGAACCATTAATTAATATTCTAATTATTTGAATGTCAAATCGAATGACATAGATGAAAAATGACGTAATTTAACTTTTGTCTCGAACAAGTACAAGACTATAAAAGTATAAAATATATATATTTTTATTAATCAATATGCATGATTTCTCTCCTTTTTCAATCCATCTCTCTTTCTCTAAAAGCCTCCATCGCTCTCAGGCTTTTAACATTATCGCGACTTTTCTCCAGCTCTTCCTATAGCTTTCTCTCTCTATCAACCACCGCCGATGCACGTAACTCTAGTTTTCCGTATCGATCCAGAGCTTGCGCGTGCTCAATAAACATCCACCCTTGCCCTCGTCTTCACCTCCTCAATGTCTCGCAAAAATTATTCACATTACCTTAAAAATTATTAAACATTATCCCCAACGTCAATCGTCAATTAAAATGAAAAAACTAAAATACCAATCCATCACTTATGTCTAATTTTCTAATTAAAAAAAAATCATCACCTTCATCTATAATCTTAAAATTTTAACATAAACTAATTAATAAAATTTAATTATAACTTACAACTCCTCCCTCTGCCGTTGTGACAACACCATTTTCATGATCCTTGATATAAACTCGGCTTATTCTACACCAATTTTTTTTAGAATCAATGATAATTTTCAAAATAATAAGCAAGTCCGGACACCAACAGTCGGCTCGCTTCAATAAATCGCCATCAGCATCTTCTGTAAATAAATAATAAATTAATAAATTGTCATTATTAATTCGCACTAATTAATAATAAAATTAACAATAATATATATCTAAGTTTATTTTAAGGATTTTAAGGATAAGACCTTGACAATCGACGTCAGTAAAAAGAGAAAGACAGCAATTGCGACGTCGCGAACTTTTTTAGCGATTATGTGTACCATATAATCGATATTCTCTACAAGTTAACTCATAGATATACAGTACATCTATTCATACACATAAACTAACCGGCTTTATACATTTAATATTAACCCGGTTTGTATATATATTATAATTTTATATACAAAAAAAATTTTCCCATATTATTTACTCACCCCGAAAATTTTAAAAAATTTTTGCAATTTTTTTAATATAAAATCGCGCATAAGTTTTTAATTAAGAATATTCTATCACTAAGCGTTTTTGATTTAATTTTGCAGGATTAGTTTTTTAGAGTATTCATAATTATCTAAAAAAAAATCAATTACAACGTGCGAGTTTTAAAAAGAAAAAATTTTTTTTTCGAGAATTATTTTTTCGGATACAAATTTTCAGGAAATCGAATTTGTAAAATAAAAAAAAAAACTTAAATTAATAAAAAAAAAAATAACAATAAGTTCCGAGTGATAATAAATATTGAATATAAAATAAAATGGTTTGTTGTAAAATCTTGCACGGCCATTTTGGTACGAACCGTCACGTCTGGTTGATGAAATAGCTAAGTGTTTTTTTTTTACGATGACATTTATTTGGAATTATTAATAGCAAATTGAGTACTTAGTGCGAGTTTAAACTTACGTTAATAATTATGAGGGTTACAGATGAATTTATGAATGAAACACACACTTATTTTACTGGTTTATGATGTTCACGTTCGTTACAGTATATATAGATATATATATATATATAGTAAATGAAACGATCGAGAAAAACAAAACCAATGTCAATCAACCATTCGGGGCCACTTCTGAGATCAGACTGAGCTGAAAATATTCCCGCAAGACGGCGCTCAAATTACACGCTTGCGCAGACAACTTTTTTTGGTCTAGTGATTAAATGGCTTCTGGGAATAAATAAATAAATTTGGGAAAAATGGCCGCCTAGAGATGTTTTTAAAACCTTCGTAATAAACGAAATTTTTTTTAATTAAAAAAAAAAAAATAAAAAAAAATTACACTTAAAATATTTTCAGTCGCAATTTGATGCGGAATAATTCCAGATATTTTTTTTTTTAAATAGTTATTTAATTTTTAAACATAACCTAATTTGATGGCTTTTTCACAACCTAATTCACGAGGTAATTATATTTTTATTTATTATAATTGCAATTATATATAATTTATCTAATGAATTTTTATTTTCAGAATTGCAAAACAGAAAAATATTAGAAGAGTTGCAGTTGAAGAAGCAAATGTTATTGAAACAAGGTGTTGCTCCAACACTGGGTACATCATTGAACACACCGCCGACGTCATCAGCGTCTATTGTAATTATTAATTATTAATTATCAGTATATGGGTGAATCTCTGTAAGGACGTCTTAAATCTGTACAAAATTTTCCGACCAAATTTTCTTTGATTTTATTAGAAAAAAAATTAACGAGGGCGACAAAACTATCAGCTTAATCATAGTAAATAAACAGTCGAATTAAATTTTGCTTTTTCGATATTTGTGTATCTTTTGCTATATAACATGACAGGGGACTGCTTGCCAGGGGATTGTTTTTTTTTTATCAAATTGAGAAAAATCAAGCAAACTATTTCAATGCATTCAACTTTTCAAGTTCTCAATTAATGTTAACATTAATTAGAATAATATTAAGACTTATGGATCCAATTTTATAAATAAAAATAGTTGCCAGGGGACTGAGTTTTGAAGTGGCCCAGACACATATTTCCAGCACAAATGGTGCTTTAACACTAAATAAAATGGCGATAAAGTGCTAACAGCCCTATGGTTAATAACTCAAGGCTAGTTAGGTCTTTATAAACCTTACAAAAGGTAAAATAACACGCTGGATTTTTTTTTTTTTGGCTTTGAACTGCTGGCAGGGGACTGTTCTTAAAATGCCTGGGACAAACTTTGGTTTAATGAATTTAATGAAACAAATTAATTTTCGGTACTTTTTATTGAAGAAGATTGTTAGTTAACTAATTAAGTTTATAAACATTATGGACCAAATTATTATTATTATTAACTTAAAATTTAATCTTAAAGTTTTAATTTTGGGAGTGGGACAGCCCAGGGGACTGTTATTTCGATGGTTTACGAATTTATAGCAAAAAAACCAAAATTTATTTCATTTTAGTTTTCAATGCTCCAAATAGAAATGTTTTTTTACTTTCATAATAAATTTTTTTTAGTAACAAAATAACAATTTGTCTAATAAAAAAATGCCTGGGACAGCAAAAAACATCCTTACAGAGAATCACCCATATAATTGAAAGGAAATAAATATTGAATAGATTAAGTAAAATAAAATAATTTTATCAGGCGACATCGACTAACGATGGAGTAAATATGAACGCAAACCAACGTACTGCACTGCATAACGCCCATGCTACATCATTTGGTTACTTTGTAACGCAAGATTCCTCCTTTGGCAACTTGATACTTCCTGTATTACCGCGATTTGACACCAAATAATTAATAAGTAGTTAAGTAATTAAATAGGAAATAAGAATGGCGTCCATGCGATTGAAGGAATTAGAACAATATTTGCAACAATTGGACGGATTTGAGAGGCCGAAAGTACACTTGGAGCAATACTCAACAAGCGCCCATATTGGCGCTCACTTACTTTATACTGCCCAGACACAGTTTAATGACATTGAGGGTAAATCAGTAGCAGACTTGGGTACCGGTTGCGGTGTACTGTCGCTTGGAGCACGGATGCTGGGCGCCGATTATGTTGTAGGCTTTGAAATAGATACTGATGCGTTGGAAATTCTTTCGAGAAATTGTGAAGACATTGATTTGTCTGTTGAAGCTGTACAGTGTGACATTCTTAAATATTTACCAGGTAAATTTTATTGTAAGCTAAATGTCTCATTTAATATAATTTATTCAGCAGCCCAATTTTAAAACACAGTAACAGCAAAATTGTTACATCTGATGTTTTTTAGTGTTGCTGCATTTCTTATAACTTTTAGACCTAAATTTCAAGTATTTTTTCTTAAAAATATTTATATTCATTCAAGTAGGCGCACAAATTTTTTTTTAACAAGAAAAATTTTTAAATTGTCAGTTACTGTGTTTTGAAATTGGGCAGCCGTATTATTTATCTAATGTGTAAAATTCTTCGTATGTTTGATCAAAATACTATTTATCTGAATTTTCATGAAATCTTTCGGTAAATATTTACAAGTCAACCATTTGCAGGTCAACCATTTTAATTTTCATTTTTTTTGAGCGAAATTTCTATTTGATTTTATTGATATATTTTTCTTGAAAAATACATAAAAAATGAATTTAAAAAAAAAAAATTGATTAGGGTAAATTTAAAAACAAAAATCTTAAGTCGTTATTTTTTTTTTTATGACTAAATATAGTTCTGAGAGCGAAAAGTAATTTTTTTTAACTTTTTATTTAAAATAATAGTTTAAAAAAATTATTTAAATTGGACTTTTTCTTACATTTTCTTTTTTATTAATTACTACAATGTTTTACGAAGTTTTACTTATTTTTTCCTGGTTAATTATATATTTGTACATAAATATAATTTACTTTATCACAACTTATCTGTATATTACTATATTGTTTTTTTAATAGAACACGAGAGTTTGCTTAACCGTCCATCTATTGGGGTATTTACCCTATCACAATTTTGACAAATTTTTTAGAAAATTGTGATATTCATCTATTTTTTTTTTTTTTTCAATTGTTCGTTTTTTTATGTACTTTTTAAAAAAATATATATCAAAAAAAGATAAAATAGAAATTTTATCCAAAATTTTTGTCAACTTTTGAAGGCAAAAAAAACTATCGAAATCTTTATTTTTTTCTTTCACGACATTCTTTATCATAAATCCGTCGTAAAAACAAGCAGAATCAGTAAAAAAAAAATTTTTTTAATTTTAATTTTTCACCTAATTATAGCCCAAAATGGGATTGACCCCACTTGTAAATAATTACCAATCTTTCTTGTGATTTCAGGAAAGCTGTTGAGTTATAATTTACGAAAATTTTTTAATTAAAATATGTTTGGGTTAACTTGGTAGAAAACTTATGAGATTTTAATTACTTAATTATTCAATTAAAACTCAAACTTAAATCGGAACAAACATACGCATTGATAAAAAAAAATTAACTTTACTGAAGAGCCGAAATCTTGAACCAAGAATTCCATTTTAAAGAAAATGATTTTCTTGAGTCAAGAGAATACATTTTTGAGTCTAAAAATTATTCTTGAGTTGGGTAAATTTTTCTTGTCTCAAGAAAATCATTTTCTTGAAAATGGTATTCTTGGTACAAGATTTTGGCTCTTGAGTCAAGTTAATTTTTTTATCAGTGCATAAAAGAATTATATGTTAAGTACAAACGTTAGTTATAATTGACATCAATTTAAATTTTAAATACAAAAGTAAAATTTATTTAAAAATTAACAGGTAAATTTGAAAAAGCATTTGACACGGTGATAATGAATCCGCCATTTGGTACCAAAAATAACGCTGGAATAGATATGGAGTTTTTGGAAATAGCGACAAAGTTGTCGCGGAACGCAGTGTACTCTCTACATAAAACATCAACCAGGAATTTTATACTGAAGAAAGCCAAACAGTTTAATTGTGAGGTGACGGTTGTCGCTGAACTGAGATACGATTTACCTCAGGCATATAAATTTCATAAAAAAGCGTCTGTTGATATACAAGTAGATTTTATACGATTTTCTATAAACTCATAATTTTAATGAATTACAAATTTTTATTTTTTATTCAAATTTTATTCCTTGGGCAAGTGGTAATTCGTTGCCATAATTAATGGTTACTGTTGAACGACGCATGTAAGCTTTCCATGCATCGCTACCACTCTCGCGACCACCTCCAGTGGCTTTTTCACCACCAAAAGCTCCGCCAATTTCAGCTCCACTGGTTCCAATATTAACGTTTACGATTCCACAGTCAGATCCGTGTGGGCCTATCCACTAATAGATTTAATAACAATAATTAATAATAAATATTAATACGTGAAAAAATATTTTTAGTCAATATTAAAATTTTTTTATCGATTGATCATGAATTTTTTAATTTTCAGTCAAATCTAATTTTTGTTCAGATCAGAATTCGTTCTAATAATGAAAATTAATATTAATATTGTAATAATAAATAAATTTTTTGCATTACCTGAAATACGCTTGACAAATTTTTAGTGAACAAAGAGCTACTGAGACCTTGCTCAACGCTATTATTCTGGGCGATAGCATCTTCAATGGAATTAGTTTCTAAAATATACACAATAGGTGCAAAAGTTTCTTTTTGTACAACTTGATCGTCCGATCCGAGTCCTGAAATAATTGTTGGCTCGACGTAAAAGCCTGGACGATTTATTTGTTTGCCACCGAATTCAATCGTTCCACCATTGGCTACAGCTTTTGCCACTGTTGTCTGTATTTATTTATTAAAAAAAAAAAAAAGAAAAAAAAATACCTTGTCAATAACAAAGAATTATTAAAATACCACAACTAAGCTTAAATAATATTACTTTAAAAGCGTCAACCGCATGTTGATTATGTAAAGGTCCATAGAGTGTCGCCTCATCTAAAGGATCTCCAATTCTTCCTAAAATACTTTTGAATGCAGTGCGTAATCTCCCAACAAATTCATTTTTTATTTTAGAATCTAAAATCAAGCGTCTCGTTGTCGTGCATCTTTGTCCAGCAGTTCCAACGCATGAAAACACAGCAGCTCTTACAGCCATCTCCAGATCAGCGTCATTAGCAACTGATCAACATTATTAAACAGATAATTAAAGACAATTATTAATCTTGATCAGATAAGAATAAAATGGTGACCGTCTTTTATTTCTCATGCAATAATTCTAATTACCTATGACAAAATTTCTTATGCAATATTTTATCCTAGCAATATTTTCTCATGGCAAAAATATCTTCGAATATATTTTTTCAAACCAAAATTTCTCAACACGGTATCAAATGTATGTGTTCGTCTAATATCGAATAAACACCCACAAAAACCATGACCAAAGGGTCATTTTATTGTTGGAGATATATAAGCATTTTCGTAAATGATGATTAATTTTCGTCAGATTAATTTATGTTGTGATGAATTTTGGTTTGAGAAATTTTGACATGGGTAATTTTTGCGGATTAATAAAGGCGGGGAGCCGAATAAAATGAATAGAATTGAATTTACCGATAAGCGCATTATTGCCACCTAGTTCCAGTAACGATTTACCAAAGCGTTCTTGAATCTTAATAGCAACTTCACGGCCAACTGCAGTGCTTCCAGTAAAAGATATCAGTGGCAATCGTTTATCGTTGACCAAAACCTCGCCAACATCAGCACCACCAGTCACTAGGGACGCTATTGAAGCTGGAATTCCATTGCGTTCAAGAACACTTGCTATTATTCTCGTAGTTGCTATTGATACCAACGGAGTCGTCGGTGAACCCTTCCATACAATAGCGTCACCGCAAACCATTGCAATTGCGCTATTCCATCCGTAAACCTTTTTAAAATAAAATTAATTACTTCAAATCCAGTAAAAAAATAAAGGTAATTATTTACAAGTGCACAGAAAGAACAAGATTATACTGGATAACTTTTTTTCACTTTTTTCACTACAGATGCCACTGAGTAGAATCTGGAATGTTATCCAGTGTAATCCGTTGTTCTTTCCGTGTGGAGTCAACCCATGCTGGGCCATGTTAAATTATTTTGTTTAATTGTTCGTTTTTTTATGTACTTAAAAAAAATACATCAAAAAAAGATAAAATAGAAATTTTATTCAAAAACATAAAAGTCAATTTTTTTTCTAACTTTTAAAGGCAAAGAAGCTATCGAAATCTTTATCTTTTCCTTTCACGGAAATGTTAATTTTTCACCTAGTTATGGCTCAAAATAGGGTTGACCCGACTTGTAAATAATAACCGAAATAAATAACTCAGTAGAATAATCAATTTAAAAAATAACAAATATTAACTGCAATTGGAAAGTTAAATGCCGAGATGACACCAATTACACCCACAGGGTTCCATTTTTCTAGCAATGCATGATTTTTACGTTCGGATGGAAACAAATTACCGGGTAGCATTCGTGATAAGCCAACAGCATAATCGCAGATGTCAATGTACTCTTGAACTTCACCGACACCTTCAGCTAGTATTTTACCCATTTCCAGGGACACTAATTGCCCAAGTGGTTTCAAATTACGACGCAATTCATCGCCTATTTGCCGTACTATTTCCCCTCGGGCTGGTGCTGGCAGAGACGACCAGTATGGCCAGGCTTTACGTGCTTCAGTTACAGCATTTATGGCTTCCTGCGGTGTTGATTCATGCACTTTGGCTATTACTTTACCACTCGCAGGCGATATTGACTCAATTACCTATTAAATGAATTATTTTTTGTTAATAAAAAATAATTAAATAATTTAAAAAATTAAATTATAAATGTTACCTTGCCAGAGCCTCCCCACCGACCATCAAAAAGACCCGGGTTCTCGATAGTCAATCCTAATTGTTTTAGAAAATTATATTTTGAATCAGTAACAAGAGTGCGTGTTTGGTTAGACATTTTTGTATTTAAATGTATAATTAATTTGTATAACATGGCATCTATAATCTATACTATAATATAAGTAACTAAATAGAAATAATTATTATTTAAAAACTTTGTTTAAAAAACCGAGTATTTAGTTTTTAATAATGACTTTAGTTAACGGGTTATCACTCAATTTTATATAGAATAATATATATATATATATATATATATATATATATAATTTTGTTATCAGTGAGGGTGACTCTTATCGTGTTTTTCTACCAATGATTGTCTGAAAAATAATTTTTAGATAAATTAACTTTTTTTTTTTTTTTCACTAATCAAATCTTAATTTAATTTTTTTTTCAACAGTTCATTCACATTATAAAATTACGGCAGTGTTTCACTATACTGTTATTAATTATAAGTTTATGAAAAAATTGATAAAAAATCTTTTTTAGTATTAATTTAAAAAATCTTAGTCGTGGAATTTTATTTACACTAGTTGACACATTTGATAACATCGCAGATCAGATACAAATCGCAGTACAGATCTCGTAAGTGTTGGCTGATCCTGATTTAAAAAATAATCGAGATATTATAATAAAATATCGTAGATAATCAAATCGAGTAATTACAAATTGATACTTACTGTTGACTTATCAAAATTATTAAGCAAAGTCGATCGCTGTGTATCATCAAGACACTCACAATTAGCCAGAAATGTCATTAAAAAATGATTAAAGAACCACGTTATATTTACAGATGCTAAATTGTGGATTGCTATTGCTATTTCATCTGCTAGTAAATTATGCGATCTGAAAAGTAACAACAGATTTTATTACAGAGACTGTATTACAGTATTTTTTAAAAAATAAAATAAATACGCACTTTTGAATCAACACTGTGAATAATGCCATCAAAAATCGTTCCAATAGATGATTTTTAAAAACTTCCCTTTGATACAATCTCCACCTTGTATTTAATTGCTCCAAACTCTGTAAACTCTGGCGAAATATATTGACATCAGGCTGCAATAATGCTTGTCCAAATATTTCTAAAATAGCAACAAGTTCTTCTTTATTTTCAACTATTTCTTCTCTCTCAGCGTGTCCAAATGCACGTACGACAGATACATTATAAAAGTATTGCCATCTGTGTAACAAAATACTGAAAAAAAAAATCAGAAAATATTAAAAAAATAATTTACTAATATAAAGGTAAAAATATGTTTAAATTTTTCATTGCTAACAAATTGATAGACGAATTTGTTTATTAAATATATATTTTAAAAAATTCTACCGTAGAAGGCTGTTTTTACGCTGATTTTCATTAATTTTTTTAAGGTATATTTATTTTTATTTATTTATTTATTTACTTCTGGTAAAAACATTCTATAGAGGTGCAGAAAGTACCTGTGTATAGACACCAGAAAAATATAATACATTTATAAAATTAACACATAATATTAGATTAACTAAATAAGTAGTGTATAAAAAATTAATATTATTTATTGAAACTATCAGGTTATTTTATAGATATATGAGTATTTTTTCGTATTAAACAATAATATAACTTAACAAATAGCGGAGATATCAGCTGATATACATCGTAGGTTGTCATTCGACTTAGCAGTTGGTGTACAGTATGGAAGCCACAATTTTTATCTAAAAACAATGGCACAGAAAAATTACTTTTTTTTATATGTGTATCTTCTATATGAACCTCAATTCCAAAAAAAAAGTAAAAATTTGCATTTTTTAGAGGGCTGTGAAATTGAGTCGTGATTTTTTACCATTTTTTCATACATTGATTATTAAAAAATAAATAGTTTAAATAAAAATATCGCTTGAGATTGAGGTTCATATTCAGTGTAATTATATAAAGAAAAGTAATTTTTCTGTGCCATTGATTTCAGATAAAAATTGAGACTTCCATAGTGCACACCAACTGCTAAGTCGGATGACAACCTACGATGTGTATCAGCTGATATATCCGCTACTTTTTAAGTTATATTATCGTAAAATATGGAAAAATATAAATATATGTATAAAATAACTTGATAGTTTCAATAAATAACATTAATTTTCATACCTTAAAAAAATTAATAAAAAGTTTGGCAAATCCAAAAGTGCACGATTCATAATGCTCATTCGTTCGATAAATAAAAAAAAATAGTTAATGTTCTAAAAGAATATTTTTTTTTCATTTAATTTTAAATGTTATTTTATTTTTTTATTTAAATATTACTTTTGCAATTAACTATTCTTTTTGTTTGTTACTTTTAAATACAATTTCTTTTTTTATTTATTTTTTTATTTCAAGTTTCGCGCGGTGTTTTAAACTGATTATGCACACTGAGTGTGGATTTTTTTCATTAATTTTAGTTTTTCGTTAATAGCAGATAAACAACATTAAATAAAATCACTATCTCCAATGGAGATCTCCGCAAAGGGAATGCCTATTAAAAAAAAAAACTGATTGAATTCGTGAATTTTTAAGCAAGTTATCGTGTTTTTAACGGAAAATTCAGTTGATTGACACGAATTTTCTATTAACTATTTCGATAATTTTTTCTGGTTTTATTATCTTAAATTGATTTTTACCAGTGACAGAATTAATCTCCATTAAATTATCTATCGAATGGTGAACAAATTAATTAGACTACGTAGATTATCAATCGTGTAATTAATTAAATAGTTGCGAAATTGAGGCAAAACAAATTTTTCGATCGTAAAGCACTCTCTGATGCTTCGCATCATGAGTCGTGCAAAAATCAGCATGAAAACGTCTTTCTACACGTATTTCCCCCCCTTAAAAATGATAAATAATTATAATTACCTGTTAAATAATTTAAGTAATACTAAAGTAGTATCAATACAATTATTCAAATTATTACTAACAGCAGGCCAAACTTGTCCCAAGCATAAATTAATAACAGAAGGTACAAAAGCTTTAAATGCATTGCTTGGTGCTGATACAACAAGTATCAATATCTCCAACAATTGGTCTAACGCTGGACCTGCAGTTATATTCTCACTAGTATAAATATTCAACATTCCCTGAACAGCATTCTGCGTAAAGTCAACACCAAGCTGCTGCTGTAAAACAAGAAACATTGCGTGCAGAAAATTCATTATTATCTCGCAGGTCGTTTGTGATCTAATTAAATGGGGTAGTAGCTCTAAGACACGATTGATAGTGTCCTCCAAGCACTGGTACAGCAATTTTTTGATAGTCATCGACAATGAACAGCAATCTTCAAGTAATTGCTTCAATGGCACAATAGCTGATGATATATTAATGTCATTGGGAATCACTTGTCCACATTGACCCAGTGGTTCGGACAATGTGTGAATAAATGTTGTCAAAAGTCGCTGTCTTACAGCGTTATCACCATTGACGAGAACTATTCCATTAATTAGCGCACGTCTTAATACTTTAACAGTATCTGGCTTGAGATAAGGATAATTATTAAGACACAGCCAGTCACGAAATGCCGTTTGTTCCCATAAGTTTGGACGCAGAACAGCTGTTATAGTTTGGAATAAATGCACTGATGAGTGTAACAAATCTCCCGGTGGTAATAAATTACTGTCATTATGTAAATTAAATATCCATACACAAGATTGTATACAACGTTGGCATAATTCGTCTTTGGATTTATCTGGACGTTTACAGATCCAGTGGGACCATGCCTGTAGTGATGCCAATAATTGCGAGTGGATTTCTATCAAATCAACCACCAACGCAGGTGGCTGTAATGCTGCATGGTAAAGTTTATTGTCATGTGCAAATGCACACGCATCTAAAGTTTGGGTTAATAATTCTTCTATCAATGAATTAATATCATCGTGAGTCGCGTTGTTGTTATTTGTTGGCTGCTCGGATAGAAATAACGAGTAGAGACGAGCTAGCGCTTGGGTGATCGATGCCAGGTCACGTAAATGTGCGTGTACTTTCGTTGCTTCTGACTCATTTAGTATTATAACGTGGTTATTTGTCAGCGCGATTCCTAGCTCGCCGTAGATTGTCAGGTCAGCGCGCCAGGACCGGTAGAGAAGTGTGAAGATTTCTACTGGTGATATCTCGGCTATTTTAGCGAGACACTCGATGTTGCGTCTGAGAAAATGCTGCCATTCTGTTTCCTGGTTCTCGTCAAGAGTCTCGGTGTCCAAGTCTTTTAGAGTGCGAGATTCGTGCTTGAAACTTATTTTTTGAAGAACGCGCTCCGCCAGAGCAAGGCCTACCGAAGCGTATTTAGATTGAGTTGACTCGAGCAGCGAGTTCCAGACTTCCAGGCTGCGGAGATATGCATTGATTGTTGTGCATTGGTTGAATGTGTGATGATATAATACTTCTAGCAATGTGTTTATCGGAAATTTAGGACACGACTCAACACGTTTCAGATGATTTGTTACGAATAGTTGTAAGAATTCTGTTGTCTTGTCGATGTAACTGCAAAAATTTTATTTTATTAAATACTTATACCGAAAAAAAAAGGTAATTATTTACAAATGGGGTCCACTCTATTTTTGGCCATAACTAGGTGAAAAATTAACATTTTTTAATTTAGCTTGTTTTTATGATACTGAAATTAGCAAGCATCTGATAATTATTTGAATTTTTATAACAAATCAATTATTAAAAAAAAAATATTTTTAAAAATTAACACTTATAATTTTTTAAAATTTATACATGTGCAATTTTTTTGCTAAATTTTTTCTTTACAATTTAATTGTTATAACAATCTAAAAAATTGTTAGATGTCCGTTAAAGTCAGTATTAAAAAATGTCGTGAAAGGAATAAAAAAAGATTCCGATAGCTTTTTTGCCTTTAAAAGTTGGAAAAAATTTTGGCTTTCATGTTTTTGGATAAAATTTCTATTTTATGTTTTGATATATTTTTTTGTTTTTGAAAAGTACAAAAAAAAACGAACAATTTAAAAAAAAAAGTTGAATATCACAATTTTCTAAAAAATTCATAAATTTTTTTGTAAAATTTGTTAAAATTGTGATAATCAACTTTTTTTTTAAATTGTTCATTTTTTTTATGTATTTTTCAAAAAAAATATATCAATAAAATCAAATAGAAATTTCGTTCAAAAAAATGAAAATTAAAATGGTTGACCCTACTTGTAAATATTTACCAAGAATTCTTGAACCAAGAAAGTAATTTTGAAGAGCTTCATCGTCTTGATTTGAGTAGAAAAATTTTTTAACTGAAAAATCTTTCTTGGTTTAAGTAAATTTTACTTGATTCAACAGTTTTTCTCTTGAATTAAACTAATTTTTTTTTTCAATGTATGTATATTTTATTACAGCTGATTTTTAAAACTTGATAAATTAAATAAAAATTAAAATTACCTTTCATCAACAGAATCTAATCGTTCCATTATTTGGAATAAAGCCACAGCATTGTTAAAAATTTGTAACAATAAAGTATCTGTTATACTTGGCGAGCATGGTCGATATAATAACTCATTGATTGTCGTCATTGCTTGTATCACCATTTCTATTTGCTTACCATTCTAAAAAAAAAAAAAAAAAAATATACAATTAAAAAATCCAACACTAAATTATCATTAAAAAAATAACACTAATATTACCATAGAATCATGATATTTGGCACATGTAAATATGGCATCAAGTAAATTTGTAGAAATATAATCAGTGGGTACGATCCAGCTGAATAAATGAGCAAGTACTTCCAATGTAACAATACAAATTTCACTGCACCCAATCGACAGACCATCAACATCCAGTGGAGCTCGTGGTAATACGTTTTGTCCTGTTGGTGACGGTGGCGGAGTCATCGTACCCGAACGATTTTGCAATTTCATCGTCTCACAAAGCAGAACTAAAAGTAAAAAAAAAAAATTATTTAAAATCATAAATATTTTTTTTGTGGCAATAAAATATTTATATCCACTTCTCAATAATCAAAAAGCTCTTGAATGTAAAAAGAAGTTATTAAGCAAGAATTTTTGGAAGTGGATTAGAACTATTGAATTATAAATTAAGATATTATATATTTCATTGCAAAATATCGCATAATTAGTAGTAAGAAAACTTATACTTGGTACATTGCATTAGCTAATGAATTTTTTTAACTTGATGTATATACATCAAGTAAAATACTTTATAAAATACGTATATAAAATATTTTTACTCAATAAAAAATTTCTTGGTTCAAGAAATTCGATGGCGACCAAATATTCTATTATTGTTAATTATTAATTTCTGAAGAGTAGAGCATCAATATTTATTTTTGAATAATAGATAAACAAGAGAATAGCTTTATTTAAATTAAGTAAAAATTATTTCAATCAATTTAAAAAGTTCTTGAGCTAAGAATATATATTCTTGAAATTTTTCAAGAACATTAATTCTTGTATCAAGAAAATTTTCTTAATAAAAGTATTTTTTTTTCTCAGTGTAGACTTAGTTAGGATTCACTGCAATACACATCGATTTTAACAGATCCACGTTAAAAAAATTAATAATCAATGAGTGTAAAACGTAAACTCAAAACTCTTAGTCTTTCTGAAAAACTACAAGTGCTCGAAGCAGTGAAGATTAGTCAAAAAAAAAAAGGATGTTGCGGAACAGTTTGATGAAACCAGTTACTGCCTAACTCGAAAACTCTATAACTCGAATTTTTTTGCCTCTCCCTTGGAGTTCGAGTTATAGAGGTTCTACTGTATAATTAAATAATATTATATTTTTCTGGTGTCTATGCACAGGTATCATGCACCTCTATAGAATGTATACCAGAAGTAAAATAAATAAATAAAATAATTCTGACAAATAAACAAAAATTACCTGTCAATGCTTCAAGTGTCACTGACACTTGAGAACTTAACAAACGTAATAATTCAGTCTTTCGTTGAATAGGTAAATCTTCTCTAGGGGTTGCCAGTTCTTCGGACGCTGTTCTTAAGTATATTAACCCCAATAAACGTGTTTGTTTGTGGCCTAATAACTGAGTATTAAAAAAATTAACAGTTTATTCATTACCGCTGTTATAGAAAAATATAATTTAAAAAATGACAAAAATAAACCTGTAAAATATTTGAGAAAAAGTCTGGATAAAAATGTGGCCAGTCATGTTTCGCGATGTCGACAACTAATTTAACTATTTTGTTCCTAACAAATGGTGCTACGCTGTGCTCAAGTGACAATGTATAAAGTGTTGATCTAATTAATGATCTGTCTTCCCACAGCAAAATTGGCCACCTCCTTCCAATTGTCGTCTGTTGTAAAAAAAAAATTAAATTATTATTAATTACCAAAAATTCTTAAAATTTTTTAATGCAATTAATATTACCTCGAGTGTCGATAGTGCGAACATACTGACATAATGATTGTTGGTTGATGATAAAAAATGTAAACAAGGTCTCCATGAGTTTATTTGTGCTGTAAATTCATGCAAACTTTGCTCAATTGTACGTATACGTTCATTTGTAGCTCCATTTGAAAAAAATTCAGTCATCAACTGCTCCAACCGCTGTAATGCAGCAGCATCATCCTAAAATAAATTATTTATTTTTTAATATTAATTTATAATTAGGTTTTGATAATTAAATTACTTTATAAAAATTTTTAACTATTATAAAATGTTAAATTATTTACTTACCATGTTGATGACAGTTTGTCTGTTTAGGTATTAAATTATGCAAAAACATATATATACCTATATATATTATGTATAATATACATAGGATAAAGATTAAGGTTAACTGGAGAACGGAGTGATGTATACGTTTTTTTTTTCTAGGCTCTACTTGTCAAATGTGATCGATTCTTTGATAAAATTAATAGTGAAAGTCTTGTCGTTTTTCTCTCTCCTTTTTTTTTCTAGTTAATTCTTATTTATGAGAGATAATATTTGTTGAGATAAGTGAGAAAGTTAGATGAACTTGCGGACATTATCTGGACGGTGACCGCGATAGTGGCGCTCATTTGAAATATTTAAAAAATTATAATAATATTATAATTGATATATCTATTGAAAAATTGATTATTGCATTAAAAAATTTTTAAGATATTTTTAAAAATTAAAAAATTTTTTTTTATTGAAAAAAAATTTTTTTTTATTAAAATTTTTTTGTACAATTTGTTTTAAAAATAAAATTTTTTTTTCTTGTGATAAACAAATAAAAATTATTTTGGTTTATTTTAAATTTTCGCGCCATTGAAATTCCGCTTTGATCCGTTGGTATCATAGAAAACATCTTTGATGCATCAATGAATGTTCAGACGTGTTTGGACTTGTCACTTGTCACAAGTCTGTTACTCCAAGTGTATGAAAATATGTGGATAAAAAATTTTAGTAATTCAAAAATAATTAACATAATGTTAATAGAAGAAACAAATTGCATATTAAGACATCTTGGTAATTTTTATTTTAGTACCATTATTTTTAATGTTAAGAGTTAGGAATGGAAATAATAATTCATGAAAAAATTTTGATATTCACAAATTTTTTTTTTTACAAAATCTAATTTTTTTGCAAACAAAAAAAAATTTTTCAGTAATTTAGCACTCAAATATCATAAAATAAATTAAATATTTAATAATCTAAAAATGTAAGATTTTTATTAAATTTATTCTGAATTTAATTCAGTACTTTTTGTTTTAGGAGCTAATAGTTTTCCATCGAGTCGTCATAAGAAGAAAAGATGAAATGTAAGTTTAAAATTTTTACTATTTATTTTTAGAAGAAATTTTATAATTTAAAATGATACTGAAATCACCAGACACCTGACGTCTTATTTTAATTGTAAATAAATTATAAAACAAAATATTTTATAATAATTTCCACTCATAATTTTTTTCAATTTTTTAGATGTAAAATTTTTTTATAATAATTTATCTGTTATAAAAATCCAAAAAATTGACAGATATCTGTTAATTTCAGTTTCATGATTTAAACATTTATTTCTTCATTTAAAATCGTAGTGCTGGATCACGGAGTAACTGATAGTATAAGTTATAATCATATATATTTTAAAAAAGTAATTTTAATAGCTTTCTTTAGAAGCAATTATAAAAAAATTAAAAATGTCACAAAAAGTACGCTTACAATTTTACGACATCAATGGCGAATCAGTTCATGATCAAGTACTAAATTTATTCGATTATCTTAAAAGTTTGCTACCACAAAAAAATACCACTGATGAAAACGATTTTAATAACAGAAGAAACAATATTCAACTGTTTTTAGGGACTGAATTAACTGCAAAAAATCAAGAGAATCAAGTAACTTATAATCGTCACAGTAATTTTAATGTTGATAAATTATTTCCATTACCAATTGGGTCGTTTTTCTTTATAAATGACAGAAAACTACCGAAAGTTTATAGTTTACACATTATCGCTTATGAAAATAAGTATTTGCGTTACCACTCAAGTAATTATCTCGGTCATTTAGTGAACAGACTATTACCTTTATTAAATTCTTTGAATAATGATAGCACTGATGATTTGATTGATGAGAGTGATTTTACGTTAGAAATTTATCTGAAAAATAAATATAAAGCGGTTGATGCATATCTTCCTGTGGCTATGAGGTTGATTGAAACTTCAAACTTTATAAAATGTTTTGACCAAAGTAAATATATCATACGTTTAGTTTGATAATTAGATTTATTTAATAAATATTGTTTTCTTGCAAGCATATTTTGTGACAGTTTTTCGCTTAAATTAATTAAAGATCCATTTTGAGTATTATTCATTAAAGTCAATCATTTATTTTTAAGGTAGTTGGTTCATCCAAGCAAAATTTCAAGAAACCTTCCAAATTTATAATATAAGTTATTAAATGCATAATGCACATGTTGTTAAAATTTGGAGACGATTTACCACGTCTAACCGAAGATAATTGCAATTGAAAATTACATTTTTACACAGGCAGTATGGGAAAAGAGAGAGAAAACGGCGAAGTTTTATTTTTTCTGCATTGAAGAAATTTTAAGAATTTCACGAAAAACTAATATTACTTAGATTAATACATGTATAATTACCCTAAAAAATTCTGGAATTCCCTACCACATAGTTTTTGAGAAATCATTGATAAACTAGTATAGTAAACAAATAAAGTCATACGTGGAAGTAAGTGAGCAAAATTGCTTGGCCTTGACGAGTCGAGTATAAAGCACAACCTCACGCGCTTCGCGCTATGAGGCGTGCAATAGCCCGTAAGAGAGGCAACACTAGCGAATGAAAAAGACAGCACTAGCATAAACTATAGGTTGGGGAAGAACTACCTTAAACTCTATTCAAACTGAGTTTATAATCAAGTCATATGTTTTAGGAAGAAAAAAATAAAGGTTTGTTAGAGTAATAATATTAAGGTAATATCATAGATATCACAAGTGTCAAATATTCTGTAAAAAGCTTTATTCAATTAAAGTAGTTGATTTTCTTTATGCAAAGTCGCATTAGAGAAAGAGAGATAGAGATAACTTTTGAAAGTTTTTTTTATTAATTTGATATTTTTTTCTTTTCATCACCTAAATTTTTATTGAAATCTGAACGTCACTTTTTGTAAAATAAAATAAAAACTCTAATTTCTCATATCATAAGACTTAATGTTTAATCCTAAAACGTTAAAAGCTCAATATTTTTAACTGGTTTTCTGGAGCTATTGAAAAATTTACTGAGCTTAGTATCTTACTATACTTTACTAACATGTCAAATTTAATGAAACTAGAAAATCTAACGCGCTTTGCGTGCCTATATTAAAATGTTTATCATCGACAATATAATTAATCAATATTTTTACAAATTTTACTCATTAATATTTAACCGTTGCTATGGTAATCGTTGATCATAATGGTCACCATAGCAACGAAAAGCGACAATAATGAAAACGTCACATCAACTCTTTAATAAAGGATTCTGAACGGTAAATCTCTAACCGAGGGTACTACCTTAATATTAATTGAATGAAGAATAAGATTATTAATTTTTTGAAACTAATTTATTTTACTATAGTTGAAGCAAAGTTTACTAAAAATGAGTCAACTAAACAATAGAAATTCATATCCAACAATCCCGACACTACTGGGGAACAGAGTTGATTCCCTAGAGCATTCGACAAGCCATTGTGCTGGATTGTCATTGAACATGATTCATTTTAGTGATAAAAGGATTAAAAGTAAAATGATAGAGCTGAATAATTTCATTATTACATTATGTCGTTACATTGATAAAGTATGTAATGTACTGAAAAATGAATGTAATAAATATATAAGAAACATACAACTTGAAAATATTTCTATAGAATTTTATAAAGAATATAAAACAGTTCTTACCATTTATGAGAAATTAGTAAAAGATCTAAAAAGTTTTTTATCGGACATACAGAAAGATTTTAACAAACAAGTTTTGAAATGGCTAGAGGATCTTGATTCATCGAAACAGAGGTATATAGACATTACAAAAGAATCCGACGGACTTGAAAGAAATCGGCATATGTATCAAGACAATGACTTTGAATTCGACAGTGATCGCGCAAAGAGTCGTCAACTTTATTGGAAAAAGTATTTAAATTTAAAATCACAAAAAGATAAAACCGCTCAACTTTACAATAAACGGTTTGCTGATCTTAATCAATTTATAGTCAAAATAAGTATTTTGATATCTCACATCACTGAGGGAAGAATATTTTACACGCCGATATTTAACAGTCATAAAAATTATACAATATCTTTAAAAGACTTCGTAGATGAATTTGGTAAATTGGTTAATATGACAGACGCTGCGATGAAGAAGAAAGGTGAAGTTATTGCTAAGTTGATCAATGAATCCATGAAAAACCTTGATAAAATGACGGAAACATTTGATGTGAATGCAATTATGGAACTGAAACAAATTAGGCTTAGTTAAACAGATTAAATGAATTTTTTACACGCATTAACAATTCATGAGCGCTTCAAGATGCAAATAAAATTTTGAAATATTGAAGTGATATCTAATTTAGTAACTAATATTTTAAGTTATAGAGGGGAAGAAAGTAAATAATAAAGAGTTGATAAACTTCAGATTTTTTCAAGCTCAAAACAATTAAAAACATACATATCGATACTGCCATTCTAATACGTTGTATCCCACATTTAGAAAATTTTACAGCAGACGGTAAAAATGATTCATTTTTAACATTGATTAAATGGGATTCGACAAATGAAAATATTTATTTAAAAATAAGGTAAAAGACCCCATTAGTGGCACCTTTAATCCCTATTAGTGGGACTTTTTCTTTCAATGAAAAAATGTTCTACTTGGAATAAAAATTGAAAATTTTTTCGATCTAAAGGTCTTAAAGATTAGAAACAATATATTCATTATTGAAATTAATGATTTCATTAATTGAATAAGTATCAAAATCAAAGAAAGTGTCAGTACTGGGGTCCCCGCCAGTAATGGGGTCTGTTACCCTAGTTATTAAAAACTATTTGACCTTTAAAATTTTAATATGACTTGCATAATATTGTTATGATTCCATTTTTCAAAAACAGTCAACTTGTCAAATTTTGTAGGATACGACGTATTAGAATGGCAGTATCGATATTCGCAAATAATTGAATTTTTTAAGCTCAACAATAGAGTTTATAATATATCTCTCATTTGAAAAGTAATTACCGCAAACATTATTCTGATTAATCTAATGAAAACTCGACTTTTGAAATTCAGCGTGAAATAAATTTTCTCAATTTAAAAAAATAATTAATTTTTTTATCTGAAAGTTAAAAATGAATAATAAATTTATATTTATAATTTATTTATTAGTAATGAATAAGCAATAATAAACAACAATAATAATTATTAAAAATCGTCTACTAATAGAATAACAAAATGAATTGTTTACTCTACTTATATCACGATGATAAACTTCGTACAGAATACAGTCCAAATCAGTACAAAAAAATAATATCAAAACGAAACGATATAATTTGGGCATTATGTCGTACTTATTTTGAGCATGTATTTAAATATGATAAGACAAATAGAAAAACGATAACAATAACCGAGCCTGTGTCATCCTCGACCAAAAATAAAACATCAAAATTTTCAGAAAAAAAATTGATGCACCAAATAACATTAGTTCTGTTTTGTGGAAATAGCCAGCAAATGTCGGATGAGTATTTGGACATACAAGATTTGCATCATTACACGCATTATATGAAACACAAAGAGAGTTTATCATACGAGGTACTAAATGATAGGCTTAGAAGCTTATCAGAAACATATGAATCATCTGGTTTAACACGTGCAAGTGTCGTTGTTCTTGATCTAGACGATACTTTGATAGACGATTCAATTAGATCTCGTTCACGGCAACTGATCGATCAGTTAAATGAATTCAAACGTATATTTAATTACGTTGTGTTATGGTCTCACGGTACATCTGAGCATGTGCGCGATTCTTTAAGAACCGTGAAAATACCGGAAAACTTTTTTGATGTAACTATCACAAGACCGACCTTGCAATCGTGTGGTTCGAATAAAGGCATAGGAATTGTAATGGCTGAATTGTATACGAGATATCAAGTACGTGAACTTACGTTTTCATGCATTGTTGACGATTTGCCAAGCAATTTTACTGACGATTACATGCTTTATGTTAATGTTCCGGGGAAGAGTAAAGTTGAAGACTTGACCCAGTTTTATACGTGGGCATTGAAGGAAATTACAAAAATTAAAGATTATTGTGAATCTCATGATGGTAATTCGTATATTAGTACATTAAATTGGTAAAAATTAAAAAATAAATTATTTACTTATGAGTTTGAAGTAATAGCTGATCCAATTGCACCATAAACATCGCATTGGTTTGGATATTTTTAATGTCGATAAGTACTGGAAATTATTGATTAATTATTTTAGATAAATTAAATTTTTTGTAACGTAGCTAATACTTTTCTTATCCATTAATTAATCATTGCGAAATGGTTATTATATTTCTTTATATCATTAATTCATTTTGCAGTGGAAATAAATTTCCATTCTTTTCATGCATATTTCTTCTTTAAGATTTAGTCAACAAAAAATGTTTTTTTTCTAATTTACAATAATTTAAAATTTTATGATTTTCTTCAAATTCACCAAACTTCAAATGATTCAGTGAAAGTTTTTAACTTTTCTTAAAATTTTATTACTATTGTTTCAAAGTCTTGTTGAAATTATTTTGGATTTTGTCAAACAAAAAGAATCTTAAAACTGTAAAATATTCAAATACAAATCTAATAAAAGTACTATTTAAATCAAAGAGTAAGTAATTTTATCAACGAGTTTATGTTGAGCTATTGTCTTCAGAACACATGTCAATTTAGTCGATAATTTGTGATGATAATCGGTATCAACAATTCGTATTCTAACCAAGCGATCTAGGTTCAAAGTGTCTAGCGCTTGTTCAAATGATGACATGATATCAATATCATCGCCTTCACTTAGTTTAATGTAATACGTATGTTTCATTTTTTTTCTGTCTTCATCAATTTCATTGCATAATACCAAATTCAATTCATCTTTATCTTTTGGATTAAATAAAAGCCAATACTCTGAAAATGTTATCACTGTCACTGTCAATTTTTCTTGTAATTTCTCTATTGTATCGTAAATAATCATTTTAAAGGTACTCAAATTTACTGCTTGCTTGTTGTCTAAATATATAACTACTTTAACTAACTGCTAAATTATTTTTTTTCTTTATCTGCTTCAGGCGCTTTTTCATCATCAGATTTAGTTGTCTTAGATTTCGGTTTAGCTCGGACTTTACGTTTAAAAATATCGGGAAACATTAAAAATAATGCGAAAAGGATATAAATAGATAGAAGAATAATTCTGATAATTTCTTCGTCGGAAGCTATTTTTTTTGGCATTTTTCTCAACTAAAATACGCGTACTATTTAGTTGTTTTGAATGTTGTCTTTAATTCACCGATACTTTTTTTGGTATTAATTTCTCTCGGCTGTGCGTATGGTTGCTTAGGATTAATTTGAGGTGAAGAAACTTCTTTTTCTTTGTTTTTGTTATCCAACTTATGACTAGTTTGATTATCTTTCAAGTCAATTTTCTTTTCAGGTTTAGAGGCCAACTTTGCCTTCTTTTTAGGTTCAGAGGTCAACTTTGTCTTCTTTTCAGATTGAGAGATTAACTTTGCCTTCTTCTCATGTTTGATGTCTTGTTTTATCAAGCAGAATGACATGTAAACAGATATCGTAACCATAAACATTATAAATGAAAATATACATGCTATGAATCCTGAACAAGAAAAAAAGTTTTCTCCATAGTCTCTGGTAAGTTTTCTTATGTAATATTTATCGTGTGTCAGTTCCATTGTTATTTATTGCTACTACTAATAAGTTTATCCAAATTTAGAATTTTTTAAGTATGTAATGGAAACTAATTATAATTGCGACAACTAGATAAGCTATGTATACTCCTAAAGAGTTGAATATTGGCTTTAAAAACGGTCTTTCTTTACTTTGCGCTATTGTACTGACATAGTGCAGCTGTGTCCATGTTGGTGGAACACCTAATAAGCTAACGTAATTGTACTCAGGATAGTCAAGTGCGTTAACATGTACTTTTAAATTATTGTCTTCAACTTCGCGATAAAATTCAAGTTTTCGGTAAGCCGGTATCAGTATATCCATCCATACTTTCATCCAAAAATATTTGCACGCTTCTTCATTAGTCACTTGGATTGAGCGTGTTTTGAAATCATCGTTTGCGTGGATTTTAACTCTGTTGAGAAATATTGGATCTGAAAGTACACTCATGAAGTATTCGTGTGACAAACGCATTATTGTAAGCTTTGATTATGATGATTTCAAACTATAATTTATTCACGGTACTAATAATATTCATTATTTAAAAACAAAAATTTCTTTTTCTAATCACTTCACTCATTAAAACTCATAATTTAAAGATAAGTCAGAAGAAATGTTTTGCAGATAAAATGGCGGCCCCCGTTATTTAAAATGGTTGAAAGGCATGCACGTGAGTTTAAAACCAGTAGGCGGGAAATTTAAATTGAAAAAAAGAATTTTCCAATGTATTATAATTTAAAAATTCATTTATACAAATAAAAGTATATCAAACATCCCAATTAACGGTATTGACTTCCAAAAATGGCTTGACAGTAATTCCCATATCATTATCATTTCTTAACATAATATTTTGTAAATTAATCATACCCGTAGCAACAGTTGTAAAAATAGGCCCAGTTAACACGATTTGTTTGTCACCAAATGAATTATTAGAATCAACGTAAGTTACTTCTTCACACGGAGAATTACGTACGTGTAATTGCTGTGCGCGTATCATGTGAGCAATATCAACGTTGTTATTAATTTTACGATTGTTAACTAATTCCGGATACTTCATAATAACTTTACCCTTTGATAGTATATCCAACTCACCAACCGGTGGTTTTGTTTTTACACGTAATAATGGTAGCAATTTATTGCGCATCATAAAAAAGTTTAAATTTTTACTTTTACAAATCGCAGATAGATAAGCGTCTAAATATTTTTCCAATATACTCAAACGTTCGATATTTTTTTCTTCAATGTATTCTGAGAATATGGACAATTTTACGATATCTTCTAGTTCGAGTAAATCATTTATACCGTATTCTTTTTTTTGACAGAGCAATATTAATTTATCTATTAAATTTTTATCAAATGCTGCTTTGTCATTGTTATATATTTTTTTAAGTATACCATCATTTGTACCAATTGATCGTGCTATTTGTTGATACATATCATTAGAGTCGTATGTTTTATCAAAGACCCCAAAAACTTTATCCATTTTTATAATTATTTGTATAGTTAACCGTTTATAGTTTTTAAAATTCTAGTACTAATAAAAACTATTTATTTAAATAAATTAATTAAACTGATCAACTTAATAATTCTCCCTTGCATTCATTGTTTAGGGCTTATAATCTACAATCAGAATTTTTGTTCAATGAGTGATATAACAAAAAATTTGGAAAACGGTTGACCTTGCAGGCTATTCTTGAACTTTTTCGCTATTTCAAACTCGAACCGTTAAAAAAATTTATAAATTAGTAGATTTTTTAGTTTTTCGGACTCTAAAAATCTAAAAATTGTTTCCGATCAGTTCTTTTTTTGAAAAGCTGTGTAACGGTGATATCTTTTTTAACACGAAAAGTTTGTATTAAGTTTGATGATGTCGATTGATCAAAAAGTTTAAAAGTTATCTCAAGAAAACATATAAATTTTTAAAAATTTTAAGTATCCTTGAAACATTTTGACCCATTGACTTCAAACTCTCATTAGATCTAAGTGATCATAAAAACTCGATTTTCAAAAATCGGATTGAACTAATAACTTTACATTTTTTTTTAATTTCACACTTTCAAAACTTGGAAAGTTAAAAATTAATAATCATAAAAATCAAACAAAATTAGAATTACAAATCGTCAACGTAACATTTAATACAATCAATAAAATCATCAACATTCTTTGTGCGTAACATAAAATACAATAATCCCCATACATCATTTTGCAGGTTACATTTATTATTAATTAAATACCGATAAATAATACCAACATCATGTTGTTCTGGTTGACGATTAACACGATCCGTCATTTCTTCTGTAATCTCGTTACCCGTCCCATGGGTTTCTTCTATATCAACATCGTTATTATTAAAGTCAATCATTTGATAACTTGTTCTGACAGAAAATTTAGTGTTAAGTTCGCTTACATTATGCTGCAATTTATGCTTAATATAATGCAACTCGTTAAGATTTTCAACAGTGTTGCGTAGCATCATCAGTAAGTAATTTTCACGTTTGATAAGATCATCATCGCGTTCTTTATGAGCATTAGTCAGCGACAATAAGTACAACCATACAATGTACTCGGGATAAGTTTTACTGAAATGTTTGTTCAATTTGTCATTATTAACATTATTATCATTTTTTATCGTATTGTCTAATTCATCTAGTGGAACATTAGCCAAGTGCAATTGCGCTGGAAACAGTGCGTTTATAGACATCAAATGTAATTGGCTGGTTTGTTCTTGGATAGGCGGCAAGTTTATATTGTTATTTAAAACTAATTTGTAAGCATCAGGACCAAGAATGCTTGTCAACCGATACATACTTTGAACATGATAATGTTTGAATATGCTCATATGATACGTGTAAACGGCTGCACAAACAGTTACGTAAACAATATTTGTCATTGAAAACATTATGGTCATGATATAGGGCATATCATCGATATCGAAAGGTATCAAGTTGATAATATTTTCAAATTTACTGTAATTACCGTCAAATTCACAGAACGATATCAACAATTCTAACTTTTTTATAACAGTATTTGATATATATGACCGATTGTAAGTCGGATGAGGGCATAACGACACCACGTCATAACTTCCGTCACAATTCAACTCACTGACTTCATTGCACTTAATGATATTTATTATATTTCCGTTGTAAAATGGGAATATTGCTATAAATTGCTTGTAAATCAACGGACAGGCTATTGTACTTAACTGAATCAATGGCATATTATTTTGAAAGTTATTGTACGACGCCAATATCGACTTTACTGTCCCGCGATCCAGATTATCGCATATTTCGATATCTGGAGGCAATGAAGAGTTCAACAGCGATGACAAAGGGCTGTATGATATGTCGATCTTCAAATCAATCAATTCATGGTTCAATGCTGCCAGCACTGCACTGTCCAGATTATTCAATGATAACTCTTTTTCACTTTTAAATGTGTAACTTATCAAAAGTATATGCTGTAATGGTGTCCTTAGTTGAGCAGGTATATTACTCATCTCAAATTTTTCGTTACTTGTTGCAGCATTTTCAGAATTATTTTGGTTATATAATTGATTATGATGCAAAGCACTTAGTGCACTTTCGACCGTGGTTTTAATATCCTGAATTTTAAAAACTTGCAGTTTTATCAACGATTCAATGATTTCACTCACTTTCGGATCATTCAATTCAGTGTTGATGATTCTCAAATTATTGACGATAATCATTTGAGTTTTGTAACCATGGTTTTTGTGGCTTGATAGCCACAGGTCGTTGCTTGGTATTTTCAATAACACGCACAATAAATTCGTGAAGTCATCATAGTGAACAGGTGGTCCAACGTAAATATCGATTGAGTCGATCTTTTTTTCACAGCGATACGATTTGTGGATTGCGTCATTAGCGTCCAAAAGTGCCGGATTCTTTAATAGCATTTTTAGCGGGCTTATGGGCAAACTGTTTTCTAAACACTTTTCAGGTGAAAATTTAGTCTTGCTTATATTAATTGTAAAGGTGTTTATCGGTATTGTTAGCAATGCTATAATCAAAGTATTTACAATATGTAAGTTTGTCATCGATGTTATCTTCAGTTCACGTAATTCATTATCACCAAAATTTTCTAGAATGAGCGTGTCTATTTCTTTGAAAAATGCATCGTCTGTAACTGATTTTATATTTTCGATGTGTATAAATAATTTGTACAGACTTATATTATTAAATTGTGAAGTTGTGAGAAACATCATGTCATCATTTGTCAACCATGGAGTATCATAGTTTGCTAATATTGCGATAGAATCGTACAATTGATTGCTATCTTCAAGTGAACTATCCTTCAATAACCTTAACAAGTGTTTCATTTTTACGAAATAAGCTTCTTTTACTAAAGTGTATAGTATTTGCGTAATAGTTACTAATAAAAGTATCAAACAAAAAGGTTTTATTATTTTAAATTGATTCTTCTTTTGCATCATCAAATTTTGGAAAGTTTCAAATCAAATTTAAAAATTAATAGATTGATATTGAGTTTCATAATTCATATGAAGTATTTGAAATTTTTAAGCGAAAAAATTTTTTTATTTTTTATAACGTTTTATTAGAACTGTAAACTTTATACTTATTAAAAGTTGATGATTTTATGTCAAATAATTGACGTAAAAAAAATTTTACAAAAATAAACTATATTTATTAGAACAATAAAAAGATGGCTAGAAGTAGATCACGATCACGCTCCAAGAGCAAATCAAGAAAAGGTTCGCGAGGAAGGAGTCGTTCCCGAAGTCGTTCAAATAGAAGGTCTTTAAGCCGTAGACCTAAATCCACTAAACGTGTTGGACGTAGAGTAAATCGCAGAAAATCCTATAAAGCTCGATCAACCTCACGTTAACTATTTAAATAAAAATTCCTGCAATAAGATAAAAAAAATTAAAGAATGGATATTTATATTAAATTTATCATACAGTTATTAATTAGAAAGAAAGAAAATTCGTGAATAATTACAATTGAAACATAAAATGATATGTGCTAACAAATTTATCAAAGACGAATGCTTACGCGATGATGGCCGACCATTTACTGTGTTAACAGACTACTTTAACAATCGTATTCACTGTAATAGACAAAACAACAATGATTCAATATCTGATGATCCCGATAATTACAATGCTTGTACAGCCCGTCCGCCTATCTGGATTTTTCTAACGTATAATAAAAATGATTACACTGTTTTGCGTTATGCATGCAAACTAAATACTAAATATTACAGTGATGACCCAGACACTTTAGACCCAAACAGAAGTCGAAGATACATACATTTTAATCCTCCATATCCAATTAACGGCAATATTATTTACTCCGTAGCTCCTAGTGGTCTATGGATTCAGTTAATCAACACAAACTTTTATTATCCGTTAAATAATTTAAGTGTGTACGCATCTACAATTAGAGGGGTTAACTATCAGATATTGACACCAACATACGGTTATAACAGCAATTGTACAAATATCGTTTACGATGTTAACAGTGATTATTCTGATGTTGATCATTTCAAAGTATTACTCAGTAACTTAATCTGGTGTAATGTTAAGATAAATTATACAATATGGGAAAAATGCAGTACTTTTATCACAAACTATCAAAAATACCGTCCACTAAATGTTATTAATAAATGTTATTCATGTAAATTATAAGATTGATGAAAGATTTGATGATTAATTGGAAAAAAAAATTTATTTTTTTCTTAACTGATGCATTACAGGTTAAGAAAAAAATAGATAGTATAATTATAATGATTATCGATAGAACTGAAAAATTATTTATATTAATTATAGTTTTAAGTGGTGAAGAAAAAATAAATTTTTGTGCGCAAAACCTAAAACATACTTTGTAATAACAGTTGGTCATTAGAGAAAATTGTTAATATTCTTAAAAAAGAATTTTTTTTTTTTCGGCTTGAGATTCAAAATAGCCCAAACGGCTATTTACCGCCAACAATGAAATTTAACAGCCGATTGCAAATAGAAATAGCCTAATCTGACAACACTGTTACAATAAGCAAAAATTTACTGCGCATGCGCAATGATATCTTTAAATGGGGTAAAATTTCTTCCAACCTTTGACTAACTTCAACTTTATATTATCTGAAGTCGAAAAATAAATTAAATTGATGAAGAAATATAAAAAAATATTGTAAAACATATCTACAAATGCTTTGAACTGCTGAAATAAAGAAATAAAAATATTTTTTATAGTAAGTTATTTATAGTATTAAGAATTATATTCTAATTGGTTTAAAACTTACAACGAATTTACAGAGTTATGGCATATCAAGAAAGTGTAGACGAACTTTTATCAGATGCATTGTCATTCAATAATGAAATAAAAACATGTAACACTATTCACAATTTGCAATGTAATGATGAATTTATACGGTTGAGCGGTCACTTTATTCCTACGATTTATGGAGTTAAGACGATCACGATACCTCAAATTATAAACACTGTGATAAAATCAGAAAATTCGTTTGAAAAAGCTAAATATTTGATGAAAAACATATCGGTTATAAAAAATAGCTATCTGGATAAATTGAAAACTGTTTTGAGCAAAATTTATCCGATGATTGTGGTAAATCTCAATAGATATCATACTTTGCGAAAAATTTATGATTATGAAATAAAACAGATTGATCCGAAACCACTAATGCAGCAGTCTATTTTTGCTGAAATATTTAATATTGCTTTTCAACACATTGGACATGATATTAAAGATCCGAAAGATTTGTATCGATTGTTGACATTGCTCTCCGAGCCACTTGATTGGGTTGATTATTACAATATTATAAAAAAGTATTGTCATATAAACTTCATGATGTATAAAATTAATTTGCCCACTGCCAAATTGTTTGTTCATAATGCGGACATTCTTTCAACACCACTAGTTCTTCTGAGGTATACCAATAGCAAAGTTATCGATCTTGTTCATGTTTATGAACATGGACATAACTTGTTTCAAGGGGGGTATAAATTTAATTCTTAAATAATTTTTCCACGCTAATATATTGAAATATTTCTAAACGTATAGTTTATAAAGAAATGATAATTCGATAACTTTTGCAAATAATTAGTCATATTCACTTAAATAATTAATGACATCAATCATGACACTCAAAAACTACATTTTAAGATATATTTGTTTAAAAATAATTGAAATTTCAAAAAAAATTTTTTTTTATCATTATTTTAGTACAGCTATGATCAATGATTTTCACTCAGGAAAAAAAATAATTCGCAATTAACATTTCTTCAATATCAATGATTCTGTGTTCAAAATTTCAAGAGGGGGTATATATATATATATATATATATATATATATATATATATATATATATATATATATGCCCTCTCACAATAAACGAATGATATTGTACTATATAAAGAAGAAATATATATAAAAATATTAAAAGCGTAAATTCTCTACTAATAAATTTTCGACAAACTTATTTTTTTCAAAAATGGAGAAAAGCAATTGAAGTTCTTTCATGTTGATGCTACCGAAAAATTTTCTCTGGATACGCAACCAATAATCCAAAGACGATTGATCCACGACAATAGATCCATAATAACATAAGCATGTTACGGTGTTGTACACTTTTATCATGGATTTTGTATGTTCACTGATAGAAGGATTTATTAACTATTAATAATTAAATTTATTTGAAGACAATTATTTAATTTATTCAATTTTAATAAATATTTTTTAACATTCAATAAATATTTATTTTGGATTAAAGTACATTTATTAATAGTTAATAAGTATTTATTAATATAGTTAACAAATATTTATCAAAACAGTTAATAAATATTTTGTTGAGTGAACTTGTTTCGCTTGCAATGTCATATGATATGGAGATTGCTTATAAACAAAAATCATCTTTATAAATTATTTGCACTAATTATATTACATTATAATAACGTTTATTGTAAAATACCAAATTCTATCACAGCTCATAATTATCTTTTATATTTTTAAATATTAAAAATCTTAATTTATTTAATGAATTGAATTATTATTATGTATTTCAGCTATAGGGTTGTAAAAAGTGTCAAAAGAAAATTGCTATTTTTGCTTTTTATTTTAAATAAGTATTTGTCAACAGTTAACAAATATTCATTAACCATTAATAAATATTTATTAACTGTTGATAAATATTTATTAAATCCTATGATGTTAAAAAATAATTTATTAACAGTTAATAAAGCTTATTAAATATAAACAAATCATTCTATCAGTGTGTTTATTTGACAGTAGACTAACACATAAGCTTGTTACCGTGTCGTGCCCTTTTATCATAGATTTTGTGTGTGTTTATTCGATAGTAGACCAATACATAAGCTTGGGATCAATTGTCACTCAGATCAATTGTAGTGAGGATAAATTGTCGTCGGATTATCGGTCGCGTCACCATTTTCTCTAGCATGTTACTAAAAAAATATAAATTATCCTTAAAAAAGTATTGGTTTTTTTTTATGCGCAATCAAATATTTTTTCACCACAGCCTTACAATCCATTTAGTTTTTAAAATATTTCTTGATTATTTAAAAAAAATTTTTTGTTATTAAATGTAATTTCAAATGATCAGTAATCTCAATTGCTAGTTTTGATTAAACATATAAAAGTTTAAAATGTTCAAACACTTGGAGGATTTTAAACATTTCCAGAGGGACAAGTATCGAATTGATCAAGCAATGAATAGGTGTAGTATGAACTTTGTTTAAACAACTCAATGTTGTATTTATGTACTTGTCTACCGGCCAGTACAAGTGGAGTTGCGGAGGTAGCGTTACCTCGTAACAGACATAATTTTGATGGTTCTTGATGATTACAATATTCAAAGCGATGTTGATCGGCATTTAATATAATTCTGGGGGTTAATAACTCAGAAGTATTCGTTGCGTCAGGGTTTGTGTTGGTATCAACAGTATTATAGCTCATTGGTAAGTACATGAGCATTATTTGATAGAATACCGGCAATTGGTTAACTGGGTACTCATCAAATCTAATGCCATTTCTATTAATTCGATTATTTTCATCTCTTGCGAAGTGTTTAACAGCAACCCAACAGTTTATCCATCGTTTCATCAAATACGATCTAATATTTTGGTTGCAAAACACGTGATAATTGTAAGACGCTTGAGGTAGTGCTTTATTATACACAGCACCATCAGATATTAAGCTCAACAATGCTGATTCAATTCTGAAAGCCAATTCCGGTGAATAGATTTCCGATTGCCGAACGTAGTCTTTAATTACAGTGATCATTTCTTCTTGGTTAAAACGACACGGTTTTTCATCCTTATTTAGCTGTCCATTATTCCATCGGAACTCGTAAGGAAACGGTAAGAATGTTGTACGTGATTCAGTCGCTACAAGTCCATGAAGTCTTGTTTCGCCGGTTGGTAACGCAAGAACAGCGTTCAACAAGCCAATACCGAAAACTTGTCTCGCATGTTCTTTGCATACGATACCCATTTCACGGTTTATTGAGCATTTACCTAATTGTTCAAATACACAATTCGATTTTTCTTGATAAGATAATTGATTTGCAATTTTATCTAATGTGAACATTTTTTCTTGTTTTTTTTTGGTACTCACGGTAGAATGTTTATAGACTGTTTTTCTTTTTACTACTAATTAATCAAGTAAATTATTGAAAATTTTTCGTTATTTGTTTCTTTCTAATAAATAGTTCAAAATTTTTTTAATTTATAAAATTTTTGTTATCTAATATAATAGAAAAAAAATTTAAAAAAAATTCATAGCAAGATATTTGTTAAATAATTACATAAATTATTTTATCTTTATACACTTTGCCTATAGAGCGCAATTGTAGTAGTTAATATGTTTACTTAGCTTCTTAAATGTTTTACTTTTCCTATATTAAATAAATAGATTAAAATTTCCTCACTTGAAAAATCATTTTAGCTTCAAATAAAATTATTTATGCTTTGTTAAAAGCCATATTTAATTATTCTTAGGACTTTTATTTTAATTTTCTTGTTTGTTTTTTGCAACAATTTAACACCAAAGCGGGCGATAGCACAGAAGTTTAAACTTCGGCAGTAATTCTGCACGGTCCTTATTGTTGATAAGCTTTCTTCCACTAATGATTCAAGTGCTTTTTTGATAAATTGTAAAAAAAATTAATTCTTCATGAAGAAAGGTTCTAGAACAAATTTTATTCGTAGAAAATTAAATAGTATTTTTGTTAATTTATATTAGATGCAACAGATTTTAGAAAACTAAAACAATTTTTAAGAATTAACCAACGATGACACACATTTTTTGCACAATATTCGTCGTGTCAATAATTTTCATGTGTCTTATTCAATTAAAACGTATGAGCGCCATTGAACAACTTAAAGATTCAAAAAAATTATTCACCACTTTAAATATTAATGATTTCAAAATACAAAACAGACACATAGATGATTGTAACTTGGAAAAGCAGTATTGTTTCGACCAAAATGATTGTTTTAATCGCTGTCAAATGTCAAATAAAGGTATGTTTGAATGTATAGCCGGTGTATGTAAGCTAAAAGTTGATCTGGCAACACTGAATGATGTGTCTAAGTGTAATTTAGAGGAAGGTATGGCACCATTTTTAATTGGTGTTCCCGAGTTAGCAACTGTCGAAGCTATTTGTAAGCCAGTTGATCTCGGTATTGTTTACATAGATGAAAATACAAAGAAAGTTGAAAATAAAATGTGTGCTGGACGTGATGTTAAAGCTAATGATAAGGTTGATTATATGGCAAATTGGCCTAATCCCAAAGATTGTAAATGTGGAAAAGACAAATCACCTATAATTATTCCGGCAACTGAAAATGTTCGTCAGTATGTACAGTGCATCAAGAATGATGATGCTCTTAAATGGGTCTATGATGAAACTAAATTAGCTTACCATCCTAAGGAAAACTCTTGATGCTACTCATGATATCGAAGCGTAATTTATTATTTATAGAGCAAAATTTTAAAAACTACAAATTAAAATATTTTGAATATTTTTTTATTGGATAAAAAATTGGAAGTTATTAAGAGAAAATGCCATAAAAGTAACTTTATTTTTACAAATATTTGAAGCTATGAAATAGTTAAAAAATTTATTAGAGAAGCTAATTGAATATTATGTTTAAAATACACTGAAAAAAAAGTTTTTTTATACCCGGAATACTGAATATTTTTTAGTCGAGTTTTCTTGTACAAAGTAAAAGTCAAGTTAAATATTTTAGATTTAAGAAAACTGGTATTTTAAATCTGAGAATACCAAGTTTTTTAACAGGACTAAAACTAAATTCTATGTTACCATAGCAACCGTGACGGTGGTGCCACTATTTTGTCATTTCCCTCCAATCTACAGTGTACGCGTGTTTTTTAGTTATTAGTTTACCTCGTGCCTGAGTCTACTTACCTAAATATTTATTTGTGTAAATTAAATAATTTATAAATTATAAATAAAAGTATTAATTATTAATATTACTTCCCCTTACTCCCTTACTTATATGGATTCTTGGATGCAAAAGAAGTTGTCAGAGTGGAATTTATCATCCTCAACAAATTTATAACTCATTTTAGCAATACATTCTTTCCTTATTATAATCAATTTTTATATTTTTATAATGAGGTAAAAGACCCAGTTATTTTCACTGGCTTAGTTGTTTGACACTTGCAATTTTATTCTAATTAAAAAAATAAAATGTTCTCAAAAAACCAATTATTTTAAAATTTATAATTCAAATATAATGTTTATTAAATTATCAGAGTTGATTTTTTTTTTTAATTAAAATAAAATTGCAAGTGTCAATAACTAGGTCTTTTACCTTAGTAATGTTATTAGTAAATTAGTAAAATAATGCTATTAGCAGGAAATTGCAATTTTTTGACAACAATGAGAATTAAAAATAAGAAAAGAAAGGCTTAATATACTATTTTCCATTTTTATTAATTTTAGTATGATAGATTGTTTATAAATGAAGAATTATAAAAAGTATAGTTTCTCATAATTATCCCTACAATAAAAATACATGACAGTTTGAAGTTAGTCGATCAATAGTCGAAAAAATGGGACTTGATTCCTTATTGGTAGAATATAAACCCTCCTCAGTTACTATTGGTCAATCTCCTGGTACGTGAACATATCAATATATCGATATAAATCGAACAGGATAAATTCATTCTAGAATTCCGATAGGGAGCGCGCGAATGCGCGCCGTTAAAAATTCTAGTCTATCCTAAAGATTCGTGTCGACCAAGCGAGGTTAAGTCGGCCGTATTGATTGTAAACTTATTCCTATGGATAGTAAACTTTGGTATTCTTATTTTAGGAATACTTTTTTTTTAACCACAGGAAAAAGTTTTCTAGGAGGAAAAAAACTTTTTTTTCAGTGTACATTTAATAATTGAGTTATTATCTGAGATTTTAATTAGAGTTATTTGGAATGAAGAAATTTTGATTTTTCATTTCACATTTCCAAAAAATACTGAGTTAAAAGAATAGATTTTTGGTCCAAGATTTTTGCTCTTTAATTAAGTTAACTTTTTTATCAGTGTAGCTTTTGGAGACTTGCAAAACTATATAAAGAGCTCGTATTGATAAATTTAATTAGTCCTCTCTGGACTTCGGCGGAGAGAAGAGCTCTCCGCCTTTTTTAGGAGAGAGAGAGAGAGTATATATATATATAATAATAATAAATAAATATACACACCCTTCACGAAAAGATAATCAATAAATGACAATGAATATTCATATCTGATATTTTAACTGTTAGATATATTTTTTGTTAGTTACGCAAGTAATTTATCTGCTAATAAATATCAAAACATAAAAAATTTTTTTGCCGCAATAAAAAATGAATAATTGCTTAAAATAAAAAATTTGAAATTTTTTCCAATTGAATCATAAATTTTGGGCTAGCGTAAAATTTAATAAATATTTATTTGCCAATATATCTGGCAATTGTACGGCTTTCTTTTGTCGTAATCAATTCATGCAAGAAGATATGTTTCGAGCGTTTGGCTTTAATATCTTCCAGTAATTTGTGCTCATAATCCGGATTACCATTAGTCGATAAATACTGACAGTAATGCATAACAGCGTGTTCAACAGTAACATAACACAGTATCAATTTTTCTTGAACGATACTCGATAAATAAACAGAATCTTCACTCAATTCACGATGAGTTTTATCATCTGATAATTTCAACATTTTTGTCGGCGAAAAACGTGAATCCTTATCCTTATCTTCATTATAGTCTTCCAGAGAACTCGAGGTCGAGATGTCGCTGCTGACTATTTTCAAATTACCTTTGTGATGAAAAATTCGACGCATTAAAGACCGCGACAGAACGTGCAACAATTGGCTGTTATCATCTTCAACCAAAATAATTGGCTCGATTAATGGTATGTCAACGATGCTGAATTTAATGCGGTTTGTTATCAAATCGGCGTCACAAATCATGGAATGTAGGATAGTAATATATAAATTTTTTATGAATTGCTCATAACCTAGATTATAAGAGTACGGTGATTTTTCTATATCTTCAATGATATTTGGAGTTAGACTGTTGTTAATGTCACTCGCTATCTTGTCTTTTAATGTCGCTGACGCATAATTTACAACCGGTGTATTATCAAACATTATTTCTTTAATAATTATTCAAATAATGACTAATTTAATTTTCATTAATATGTATCATACTAATTATACGTAAATTTTATTGGATAATTTTTTTTTTTTTTTATTAAAATAAAATTGATTATATAGATACTAAAAATTTACAACTCAAAGAATTGTTCTGGAAGAATTGAGAAATATTAACAATGACATCAATTGAAAGTGCGGTGACTCCACTGTCAATAAATATTATCTTCGGATTTCCATGTTTTTATCATCGGAATATAGATCAATTGATAAATAAGGATATTATCGTTAAATGCGAATTCAAAGTCGACGAAAAAGGCGTTTTGTACCATGTAATACACTTCAGAAATGGATCATCATCAAAGTTGATATCCCAATTACCATCTTGCCGTTATGTCGCCGGTTATGACAACAGTACAATAACTCTGTACGAAATAATAAGCACCTTTATATTATCGCCATTATCACGTGTATCTGTTGATACTCGTTTCGTATACTTGTGCATATTATTTAATGATTTGTTCATGTACATAAATGAGCTGACTGTGAAGAAAATAGTCAATAGTTACTTAATAGGCAATGAGAATCGCATAAAATCGTTCTGCGACAATATTGTCTTTGTTAATGCACATAATCGACTATCATTTCTGTTGAGAAACACACTGATGACTGTTGAATCTAGCAAATCAAAGCTTCAATTAATACGTCAGCTCACAAGCATATTGTTTATCGTTAAATATATTTTGTTTTCTAGAATAACTAAATTGTCGCGAGGTGAAAAAACTAATAATGAAGATGGAAATAACCGGGGAAGTCGAGTTCTTCACGAGGGAATTTGTAAACTTAAACAATTTAAATGTCGCATGACATTTGTTGATGAATCACCGTTACACAGTGTCTTTTGTATGCAGATGACGGCACGTAATTCTAATGCTTATAGATTGTTGAGATTAATTGATATATTTAATATACCTGTTGAGCCGTCGCAGAATATAATAAACCAAGTATTTTCAATGTAACTTGTCACTATTATTCATTTTTAGATTTTTCTATCCCTTTCGAGAACTAAAATACGAAATTCAATAATTTACAAAAAGTTTGGCAAATCCAAATAAAAATATTTAATATTTAATAAAATTCATGTTTTTTTTTTTTTTTAAAGAGCTTAATTTCTTAACTTGAGAAACGCCATTTTTAAGTATAGTGCTAGGATTAGTATATTGCCACGACCATTGTCATTAGGAACTCTTGAAAAACTTACATTCACTCGATGATAAAATACAATTATTGAGCTTCAACTATACTCAAATATTCTGAAAAAAAATTTCTTTTGAGAAAAATGAGCAATGTTGTAATGAGAAATTAATTTGTTGAAAATTTTCAACAATTTTATTTCTTAGCTGAAATAATTAAAAATTTTTTCATCATAACTTTTTTGTTGAAAAAAAGTTTTCTAGATTAGTTACTGTGAGAAAAATTTTTATTTTTTCAATTAGGAAATAAAATTATTTAAAATTTTCAACGAATAAATTCCTTGTCACAATAATGCCGATTTTTTAAATTAGAAATCTTTTGTCTCACATGGAAAAAAGAAAAAAGGAAAAATTACAGTTTCAGATTGTAATTTTTACAGATTTTGTAAGAATTACATTGTAAAATGTAAATATTACATTTAAAACTGTGAAAATTATCATTCAAAGTTAAAATTTTAAAAATGTTATTTTAAATTGCAATTTTTCTAGTTTTTAAATTTGACGCGACACATTACTATTTATAATTTAATTTTTTCTTTTTTCTTTTTTCCGTACAGTGTATACAGTAAAAAATATAGTGTAAAATCAACACAATTTTTGTGTTAAATATTGTCCACACAAAATTAGTGTTAAAATAACACTAATTTTGTGTGGACCGTATTTAACACAATATTTTTTTACTGTGCATGATAAACTTTGTATGTTCTTAAGAAAAAGTAAAATAACTGCCTAAAAAGGCAAAACTGAATTGGAATTATGATTTCCAAAGAGGCTTTTCGTAATAATGTAAAAAACAAAGTATAAAAAGAAATAATTCGATGATTGTGTTTTTAGAAATGTTCCACATGAAAAATCATGAAAAACAGTTTGTATGATTATATTCTGCAAAGGTTCTTCAATAACTCATGTATTATTTTTATAAAAAAAAAAAAGTTAGTAATATTAATAAGTGCGTCAAAAAATTTTAATTCAATTGTAAAGAAAACTAATTAAAAATAATAATAGATCACAAAATTATGTAGTTAGTTAAGTATGAAGCGTTTTTTTGTAAATTTTTATTTCATTATAAGTCATCCGTAGTCGAAGTATCTATTGTAATTACAGTCTTATTATCAATATCACCATTACCACTATTGTCTTCCACAGAATTACTATTTTGTTGATCGTTTAGTTCAGTAATATCAGATGAATATTGTGACAAAGGCGGTTGAATTGTATTGTCGCTAATAGATTCCGAACTCAAATTATTTTCCTCTAGATTTGGGTTTGCAGAGTTTACTCTTTCGTTTGGAGAAGAATTTTCTGTCTGTCTTTCATAACTTTCAGCGACTTTAGCCTTTAATTCAGTTAAGAATTTATCTTCTTCACTGCTTTTATTCAATTTCTGGTGATCATTTTTGCAATTATTATACTTATTTATCAATTTATTAAACAAAGTTCTCTCAATGGAGACCAATTCTTTAGTGTTATCAAGATTAGAAAAATTCTTCATTTCAAATGTGTCATTATTTTCTGATAATTTTTCTTCAAAATCTGTCATGAGAGTCTTCTTCAAATCAGTGATATCCAATCGTGAATCATGAAGGTTATTTAAACCATCAATTCTGCCGTGAAATAGTGAAAACATTTTTAATTTTTTTTTACTTTTAACGTATAACTCTACTCTTCTATTAATACTAAAGATTTTCTAAAAAGTTTTTTATAAGTTTAACTTTACCATATTTTGATAGTCCATGTTCATATCTTTCATTGAATTAATATAAGAATTATTATAAATATTAAAGTTTAGATTAGCATCAGTCCCCATTGCATTATCGACAGCTGTGTTTCTTTCACCGACGTCAACTCCAATTATTCCATCCGCGACAGTTTCAATTTTCTCATCAACGGCACCTTTGCTTTGCTTATCATCCTGACAATTATTATACCAATCACATAAATTCGTTAAAAGTTTTTTATCGATCAATACCCTATCAGATTTATTCCCATCATACGAGAAAGAATGAACCGTTGACTTTTTTGTCGGGTGAGATGACTGCTTTAATAAATTATTCAACTCTTGAACATCAATTAAAGTTGAGTTCAATTTATTCGGGTTTGATGAGTAATTTATTTGATATGAAGGTTGTGAGAACATTTTATTATCTACTTTTTGTAATTTTGAAATAATTTTCAATACTAATAATTAGCTAAAAAATATTGACAATTATTTTTAAATTCACGTCGAATTTCAAACAAGATCATTGAAAAATCAAGGATGATTTTTTGGCATGATATGAACTCGCATGATGGAAAATCATTTTTGATCTTCGATGTAAAAAATCAAGAATTTAGTTTTCAGCATTCTACTAAAAAGAAAATTTTCATAACCTGAAAGAAATTTTTTTATTTAATTATTTTTAATTATAATATTGGAAATGATTTAGAAGTTATAAAAAAATATTTAAAAAATTGCATTTATAGTTTTTTTTTTTTTTAATTTTGTATAAAACAGTTTTTTTTCAACTATTAATTATGTTAACACTGAAAAATTGTCACTCTGAAAAAAAAAAATTAACTTGATTCAAGAGGAAAATTTTTGAACCAAGAAAATGACTTTGAAGAGGGTGTCTTGAATCAAGTAAAATTTACTTAAACCAAGTAAAAATTTCTTAGTTTAAGAATTTTTTTACTCAAATCAAGAAGATGGAGTTCTTCAAAATTATATACTTGATTCAAGAACATTTTTTTTCTGTGCAGACAATTTAAAAATTTTTCAAAAATTAATAAATAATTTATTCATTGTTAAAATAACAATATAAAAAACTCTTTATATTGAAAAATTTCTAAGAACTTTGTGAAATTTTTCAGCTTTTGTTTACAATTACTTAAAAATTTCCAAAAATTAGTTGACAATTTCACACTCTTTTTTATAATATTGAAATTAGCATATATTGAATTTTTTTATTTCAACAAATGAAAAAATGGCCAGAAAAATAGTAAAAAATTTTTATTATTTTTTTTTCAATAATTTATCAATTTAAAAAACCACTAACTGTCATAACACTGGAGTTAACTGATATTTTTATTATTTTTTTTTCAATAATTATCAATTTAAAAAAACCACTAACTGTCATAACACTGGAGTTAACTGATATGACAAATTTTTTTAGAATTTCTCAGCAATGAAATTAATGAAGATTAATTCAGCGGATATTTGATAATTTTAATAGTTTTTGTAACAAATAAATGACGGCAAAAAAAATTATAAAAAAAAATTGGTCTGTAAAAATTTAAAAAAATTAAAAATAATTTTTTGGCACAAATTTGTTTGTTATAAAAAAAAATGGTGAAGTGACTGCTAACTTGAATGTCATATGAAATTATTATGAAAAAATTTAATAAAAAAAATCACATGTGAAAATTTAAAAAAATTATCAGTGGAAATTTTATTTATTGTAATTGATTGTTATAAAAATTAAAAAAAAATTGACAGTTGTCAGTAACTAACTTCAGTATCATAAATTGCCTGCAAATTAAAAAAATTTTTTTATTAATTTTTCTGATACTTTACTAAAAATAAAAACCATTCTAAGTTTTTAATTTTCTAAAATTTTTTTGACAGGTACTTACCTGGAATTCATCTATAACTCCGATGATACTGAAGTCAGCTGACATATGAAGATTTATAGGATTTTTTTCAACAAATAAATTATTATAAAAAAATTTTTCTGAAAAATTCCACTTGCAAATATGTCAAAAATTTATTGTTGGTATTTAAAAGAAAATTTTTTCTTAGTAGTAATTTAGTTGTGAAAGTTCAAAAAATGACAGATGTCTAGCTGCTAACTTAAATTTCATGATAATTAATTTAGCAGACATTTAATAATTTTAAGAAGTTTGGTAACAATAAATTAGGAAAAAAAATAGAAATTAAAAAAAATAAAAAATTCAATTTTTTTAAATAATTTTTTCGAATAAATTTCATTTGTTAAAAAAAATTAAAAAATGGTCAAGTGACTGATAACGTTAATGTCAATAAATGTCATGTAACTCCGTCAGATTTGCCTTCTCTCCACTCCGTTGTCAGCAACTTTTAAAAAAATATCAATATGCGAATAAATAATATGAAAATTAAGTTAGCCGACACTTAAAAATTTTTGATTTTTTTTAATTAAAAATTAGAACTAAAAAACTATTTTTAAAAAATTCCACGGATAATTTTTAAAATTTTCTATATGTGAAAATTCTTGTTTTAATTTTTTAAAAATTATTTTTCAATAAAATAAATTATCAAAATTATCAAATTTCGGCTAATTTAATTTTCATATAAATAATCACAACCAGAAAAATGGCGACTTATTTGATGTCATTAAAGTTAGCCGACGTTCTAAATTTTATGATTTTTTTTTAATAATCAAATTAGAACAAAAAAATTTTTTTTAAAATTGCACTTACAGTTTTTGAAGTTTTTTAGATGTGCAATTTTTTTTTTTATTTTCTTGTAATGATTTTTTCAATAAAAAAAAATTATAAGAATTTTTAAATGTCGACTAACTTAATTTTCATACTTATTTGATCCTATAATAAAATTGAGATGAAATGTATGTGGCATCAAACTATTCGTAACGTGATTGGTTGAATATATCATAAGCATGAAAATATATGCAAACTCTATAGTCAAAGCGCGCGCTTGCGCGCGTAAATTCAAATTCTAGTGTATTTAAAAAATTCAAATGTCATACCATCAACAGATGGCAGTAAATCTAAATGTCCGATTTTCTTTTTTTTGTCTACACACATAAACGAAACACATACACTTGCACATAGAAATACCGGCTAAACAGAACAGCGCCAAAAAACCGTAGTAGCCGCTTCGTAGTGCATCGTAGTATATATGTAGTATAATAACAAACAAAAGCGCGTTGGTTGGTTCATCTCTGAGACTCACGTGTCCATTGTTGTGCCGGTTTCCATCACTCAGCATATCGCTACCGGGCAGTAATTTTATATAACAACAATACACGGCTATCAAAATAAAAAAAAATAACTGTTCTTGAAAAATATAACATACTTGAAGTAAAATAAATTCTCACGCGTTAAGTTTTATTAAATTTGTCACTTGTCACCCTAGCAATCGTTTATTGTTTATTGATAAAAGTATCCGTATTCGCTATCCGAATCCACTCTCTTAAAAATAAATGGCGTCAGTGTTTAAAGTAGCCGTGGTTTGTCATTAAAAAAAATTATTTTTCCGTTTATTATTTTATTCTTATACTTTGCCATCATCAATTAATAATTGCCTTTAACACGATAATTTATTAACAAAAAAAAAAAAAAATGAACCAAGACGACATTGACATGCCGTGCTCGTTGCCGTGCTCGTTACCAGACACTCAGCCAGTTGATTTTTTAACACAAACTCAATCTCAGGATGTTTTTTCGCAACCCCAGCCACTGGGAATTTGGGGACAGTTGAACCCTGCAAGAAGAGTGTCAAAACCTGATGTTTACAACGCACCGTTCATTAGTAACTAAATTTAATTTTGTATTTTTTTATACTTGCTTACTTACTAATTTAATTTTTTTTTTTATTCCAGATTTGACGAAGGATGAATACACCCTAGGTAGAAACAAAGATTGTGACATTTGTTTCAGTGAAGACAAAAGCGAAATTAAATTGACCAAACATTATCAAATAATCAGCAAAGTGCACTGCATTATTACAAGAGAAGTTATTAACAATAAAAATGACGTTGTTATTTTTATTCAAGACAAGTCTTCCAATGGGACGTACGTTAATAGGAAGTTAATTGGTAAAGAAAATAAAATAGCTCTCGATCATGAAGATGTTATTTCATTCGCAAGGCCTGAAAATGCTGGTATTATTTTTATTTATACATTCAAATATTTTATTATGGTTTAAGGGTAATTTTTTAGTTAGAATAAATTCGACTTTTTTTAAAAAAAAAAAAAACAAAAAATTTATAAGAAAACACGCATTCAAAATATGGAAAAAAAAATTTTTTTGGAAAAAAAATTTTTATTTGATAATTAATTATTTTACTTAAACAAAAAATTCATTTTTTCAAATCTAGAAAAATTATCAATTTATTCTATAAATTGTTCTGAATAATCAAGAAAAATAATTATCTTAAAATTTAAATATTCATACATTTTTATTTAGTTTTCTGTTAATGCGTAATTTCTTTAAAAACATTTTTCTTCAGTTGGTAAAAAAATTTTGTTATAATTTTACGTTTAAGTTTAATTTATAAATTCAAATTTTTTATTATGGTTTAAGGGTAATTTTTTGGTTAGAATAAATTCGAATTTTTTTTTATTATAAAAAAAAAATTTATAAAAAAATACGCATTCAAAATATGGAAAAAAAATTTTTATTTGATAATTAATTATTTTACTTAAACAAAAAATTCATTTTTTCAAATCTAGAAAAATTATCAATTTATTCTATAAATTGTTCTGAATAATCAAGAAAAATAATTATCTTAAAATTTAAATATTCATACATTTTTATTTAGTTTTCTGTTAATGTGCAATTTAAAAAAAAAAATTTTTCTTCAGTTGGTAAAAAAATATTGTTATAATTTTACAAGTTTAATAAATAATAATAATATTTATTGTTTGTTAGCTTTGCTATACATATAAACATAAATAATTTTTTTAAAATAAATAAATGCAATAAATACATGTATACATTCTTAATAACTATTTAAATTTTTAAAACCATCAACATTATTTATAATATAATTTAATTTTTTAAAAATATAGTTTAATTATTTTCAACCGAGAAAATTTTTAATTAAGAGTTGAAATTAGCTTCAAATGCATGTTTAAAAAAAATATAATATTTTCTTCCTTAATTCTACTAAATAAAACGGTTGAAAAAAAAAAAATTATAAAAAACTTTTTTTATTTTATTATTTTTTTTATTTTTTTTTTTAGTTTACACATTTATAAGTATAAAAGCTTATGAAACAAGTGGTTTGCCTGATACATTGAGGTCTAAGTACATTTCATTGAAAACACTTGGTTCAGGTGCTTGTGGCGTTGTAAGAATGGTGTATTCCAAACAACTAAGCAAATCATTTGCTGTCAAAGAGATCTCTAAAAAAAAATCTGGGATTGTGTCTAGGTCACCTTTCGATGATCCTGACCGGATTATGAACGAAGTTAAAATACTACAAGCTTTAAAAAATGTAAGTACTCTTTATTAAAACGTTTATTTTTATCACCAAATCTTCGATTAAAAAAACTAATTATTATTTAAAAATTCCAGCCGTTCATAATAAAAATGGCTGATATAATAGACACGCCATCGAATTTATTTATTGTTTTGGAATTGATGGAAGGCGGCGAATTATTTGATCGAATCCGAGTTAATTCTGGGTTATCTGAGCAGCAAGCTAAATTTATTATTTACCAAATAACACACGCTGTAAATTATTTGCATAATCACGGTATAACTCACCGAGACCTGAAGGTAATTTATTAATTATTTTTTTTTAGTCAAAATGTATTAATTTTACAAAAAATAACTTTTACAGCCAGAGAACATTTTATTAGCATCAGATGACGAGTACCCGCTGGTTAAAGTATCTGACTTTGGTTTATCTAAATTCGTTGACGCTCAGACGTTTATGAAAACGTTCTGTGGGACTCCGATGTATGTAGCGCCAGAGATATTGAAAACAAGTGGACGTGGCGTTTACACTAATCAAGTTGATGTCTGGAGTCTTGGTGTAATTCTTTATGTGACACTCAGCGGCTACGTTCCTTTTGCCACAGACTGCAAAGAGACATCCCTTCAAGAGCAAATAGTCCAAGGCAATTACAGGTTCCCTCAGAACAAGTTTGGTAAAGTCTCGTCTGCCGCCGTTAGATTGGTAAATTTATTTATTAATCTATATTATTAAGAGAATAAGAATAAGATAAGTATTTAGGCTGTATTCGAAAATTCACTGTCCACTTTAGATACATAATTAAAAAATGACCCTGTATCTTGAGAACTATTGACATTTTTAAAGATCTAAGCTCATCCCGATGTTACACTCATCAAGAGCTTTCATTTGAGTACCCACATCAATTTTTCATATATATTTTATATATTTATATATTTCACAAATACCATATATATAAAATATATGAAAAATGCAATGTGGGTACTTAAATGAAAGGTCTCGATGAGTGTAACATTGAAATGAGTTTATATCTTAAAAAATGTCAATTATTAAAAAATGACATTGTATCTTGTCAACTATTGAAATTTTTTAACATATAAGCTCACCGTGACATTATACTCATCGAGACCTTTCATTTGAGTACCCACATC